GTTCCATTTCAAAAAACATAACTTTAGTTCATATTTCCAAAACTATTTTTTTTTCGTAGAAAAACTACGCCACTGTATTCTACGTAAAAAATTCTACAAGAATCAGTTTTCACCTTTTCGATATAATTTATAATAACGGAGATACGGGGGCTGGCCCAAATGGCAAAATTTTCGAAAAGACCCTGTAGCTCAGAAACGAAGAAAGCTATGAAAATTTTGTTGACAGCATCTTCCGTTTGACAAAAAAGTAGCACAGGTTTGTGCAAACCGCACACTTCTAACTTCACGAATAACGGAGATGCCGTATTCAACCAAATGGGACACTCTGTACAATAGAACAATGTTTCTCCACCCCTGTTCATGAATAAGTCGAATAAGTTGAATAAGTGAATAAATATTTAGTTTTCAATAATTTGAATAGAATTTTAAAAACAATCTCATCCTGTTAATTTGAGTCTCATAAATGAAGACAACTATAATGTTTTATTGAGTCGCAAAATTATTGCAAACCAAAAATTTCCAATATATAACCAGTTCCATATATCTTTTTCTAATCGTTTAGTAAATATATAATTAAAAAAAACGCGTCTAATTTTAAATTATAATATCTACAATAACCATATAGTTTCTTCCTATAAATGAATATTAATTTCGTTATTGCGTCTTATACGTTTTCTTTAAAACGTATATGTATGTAATTTTCTTGGTATTAGTGTAATTGATGCAATTTCTAAATGAACGATTATTACGGAAATAAATCGACTGAAATTCGAGTTGAAATTCAAAACGTTATAAATAATTATTAATGTTCACTTTTATTGAGTGTAATAAATCTTTAGACGTTGTCTGGTAGAAGGTTATTGAAAAAACAAACCTTAATTTTTATTTGGGTCTAGGATTTTTAAGAGCAAACTTTTTCAAATTTAATATTGGATTCATTATAGTTTATAGTAGTATCAACTGATACGTTTAATTTCTAGCATGGGAAAATAAGGGTTAGAGATATCAAAAATTTGTCAAATGTTTGCATCCGCAAATTTTCAGCCAGACTGACTTCCTCCACTTGGGATGTGCCAGACTGTTATTTCCATTTCCATTAACAAAATGATTCCCTTTCATAAATGTCCAATTATTATGACTGGGAAAATAAGTGGAATTTTTTAGTTTTTTATCTAGCGAACCCATCCGAAAATTTTTGCGAGACTCACAAATTGTCATTTAATGTCACCATCCAAACATACTTTTATATATTCACCCACTAGGAAAATAAGTACAGGGTGTCCCACTAAGAATAGCTCTCGGCTGTATCTCGGAAAGTATTAGCCGTAGCGTAATATTTAAGGCTAAAGAGGCTATAGGAAATTGCTGGAAATGATTTTCAAGTTTGTAGAACGACCGCTAGGGGGCGCAACTGCAACAAAAAATAAGAAAATGGAGTTTTTACACAATTTTGCCTAGATAAGGTATACTATAAGTAACAGCTTCATAATCTACAGTAAATTTTGAATATTTTTTGTTAGAGCCATTTTCCCCTATCTACCAAAATAAAGTGGTGGGGGAAGGTTAGATCTGTTTTTATTTGATAATTAATAACTCTGGACTGGATGATCGGAATCCAACAAACGAAGGCTCGTTTGAAAGAGCGTTTCTTACTCTATATTGTACCATATAAACAATAATAATAAGCTTTTGAACGTAGACGCTAGGGGGCGTTGTCTTACAATTTAACAAACATTGCGCGTTTTTTCCAAAAAATTAAATGCAATAGTATATGTAATTTTAGCTGATAGTAAAGAGTAGTAAAAGCTTAAAAAGTCAGCGAAAACCGCATCTTGATATCTTATTCAAACCGAAGATATTAGCAAAATTATAATAAATACCAAAAAATAAGCCCTTAATTATCTTATTTTTACAAGACGGTATCAGTAGCCCTCTTGATTATGCCCATTCTAATCTAAAAATAAGATAGAAACAGTTAGTTTATTTTAAAATCGACGATATACCAGAATATCATAATATCAGATGTATTAGATCATAATATCAAGATATCTTATGGTATATGCGCCTGGGGGAGTGTTCTCGATTCACATGCACACGGCTTGGAAGTAATTCAGAAGTGGATCTTGAAAATTATTTACGATAAATCCATAACATTTTCAAGCGACAGTTTGTTCGAAATGAGCCATCTTTGTGATATAAGGCAGATTTATTGCTTAAAAGTCCTAAATTATTGTAAAAATAATAATATTAACATAGCACCTGTTGAGCATGTGTATGAGACACGATACAAAAGCAATAACCCCGTTAAGACTAGTAGATGTAATAAGCAAATTACGCAGCGCAGCTTTAATTATCTAGCACCGAGATTGTTCAATTGTTTGCCAAATGATATAAAGTGTAGTAATAACAAAAATAGTTTTAAGGGAAAAGTTAGGAAATGGGGGCTTACGACTCAGTTTTTTCATGACATTATCGACAATATGACTGTGAATATCAGTGTGAGCGATACAGCGAAACATTAAATTTAAAATTGTTTAAGTGTGTGTCAATTCGTTGATGTATATTTATCGCATGTTAGTTTTCGTTTTTTTTTTAATAAATTTGGTTTTCTGTTTATTATATTTATAATTAGTTATGTGTCTATGATATTGATGTATAGATGCAATATTCTTGTTAGGTGATAAGGATTATTTAAGCGTGTGTGTGTGTACACATATTATATGTGCTTGAGTGCGATATGTGATTTCAGTGGTCGCGCACCACAGTTTATTTTGTAGTTTTTAGATGTGTTTACAAGTAAATTCTATTGTATATTATATATATATATATATATATATATATATATATATATATATATATATATATATATATATATATATATATATATATATATATATATATATATATTTGCTTTTGACGTAATAGTATAAACGTCAAATTGTTATTAGATTTTATTATTACAACATTTTGACCAACAACTTCAACTACTTCAAATAATAAAGGCATTTTGAAAAAGCGTTTAAAAGATAAAAAAAACGCTGCTAAGACTATCAAAATGTTGATCTAATAACAATTTACTATTAGGCGAAAAGCAACTTTTTCCCAAAGCCTACCATGACTTCACTGAATCATCGTTTCTTGTTCACTATTATTAATATATTAATTATTAGATATTAATACATCTGGTATTATGGTATTCTGGTATTTCGTCGATTTTAAAATAAACTAACTGTTTCTATCTTATTTTTTTGTTAGAATGGGCCTAATCAAGAGGTCTACTGATACTGTATTGTAAAAATAACGTAATTAAGGGCTTATTTTTTGGTATTTATTATAATTTTGCTAATATCTTCGGTTTGAAAGAAGATATCAAGATGCGGTTTTCGCTGACTTTTTAAGCTTTTACTACTCTTTACTATCAGCTAAAATAACACATACTATCGTATTTAATTTTTTGAAAAAACGCGCTATGTTTGTTAAATTGTAAGAAAGCGCCCCCTACGTTCAAAACCTTATTATTAGCGTCTACGTTCAAAACCTATTACTAGCGTCTACGTTCAAAACCTTATTATTATTTTTATGGTATAATATAGAGTAAGAAACGCTCTTTTAAACGAGCCCTCGTTTGTTGGATTCTGATCATCCCCAGTCCGGAGTTATTAACATTTTAATAAAGATAGATCTAACCTTCCCCCACCACTTTATTTTAGCAGATAGGGGAAAATGGTTCTAATAAAAAAAAATCCAAAATTTACTGAAGATTATGAAGCTATTATTTATAGTACCGATTATCTAGGCAAAATTCTGTAAAAAAATCTATTTTCTTATTTTCCATAGCAGTTGCGCCACCTAGAGGCCGCTTTACAAACTTTAAAATAATTTCCAGCAATTTCTCATAGCCTCTTTAGTTATAAATATTTTTTTCCGTAAGCCCTACGACTAATACTTTCCGAGATACAGCCGAGAGCTATTCTTAGTGGGACACCCGGTACAAAGACTATTACCATATAATTGTTGTGATATAACTTCCAAATTGTCTTAGGACCGGAAATAAATAACTAAATTACACAAAACACTGAACAATTTTACCAAACCAAACCAAACCAAACTCCAAAATCAAAAATGTCTTAAAAACCAGGAGCGCGTTGTAAACAATTCAAATAATTGTTGTCATTCATTCGAAACTTTTAACTATTGTGACAGAAATTTAAAACAACTGTTTCAACTTTTAACAAAGCATTCTACGTTTTTTGGGACACTAGGACGGATATTCATTGGGGGTAGCAATATTTACAAATTAAATCACAAACAAAAAATACCAAAGTTAATTTAATAAATATAGCTAAGTATTTTTTGTAACAAGCAATTAATAAAATTATCAAAATTAATAATTATTACTAGATCAAAACGCACCTTACCAATGTAATATAATTTCAAAAACACACCACCAAACATTATTGATGGGCCATGATTTATATCAATTTTGATATCAATCAACAAGATGTCAAAATGTCTTATTGAATATTCTTATTCGGTACACAAAAAAACTTTAGTGTCTTGGAAAAAAAATTAAAATAGTTGTCAGTTTCTGTCATAATGTTAAAAACTTTGAACGGACCGAACAAGATTAAAAAAATCCATATTGATCTACCAAATCTATTACAAGTTCATCTTTACTAAAATCATTCTGAAAATCTACGAAATATTTAAGAATCAATATTTTTTTCATAAGTCATTCAAAATATTGTGACAAAAATTGACTAATTGAACTATTTCAATTCTTTACAAGGCACTCTACGTTTTTTGAAACCCTATGGGTGATATTCATTGGGGTGACAATATTTTTTTAAACATTAGAGCACACATAATGCAGCCTGAATTTGATAGATATATCAAAACACTTTTTTGCGTTTTAAAAACACAAAAAAAATCTTGAAACAAGCAATTAATTATCGAAATTAATTAATTAATGATTATTTCTAGATCAAATCAAACCTTACCAATGTAAAATATTTTCTAAAGAACACTGCACCAAACAAATCTACTTCAACACACCAAACTAGAACGAAAAATCTCACTTAAATCATATTCGTTGAATCGATACGAAAGATCTTGTTCGACGGTATACGAAGTCGCGAGATGGAGGCACGGCCAGCAGTACCGGTACGACCAAAGTTGCAGGAATAAATTCGCTGGATTGCCAGCAGGAGCCCAGTAATAAATTGACAGTACCGCTGCTGGCGCCGACCGTAGCAGGAAACAGTTGCATCGCCGAAGAACAGGCGGTTGTCAGATAAATGTGCATTTTTTTTTCAGGCATTGTACCCTGTACCGGCGGTACCATAATTAATTATTTAGAGTAAAGGAAATACCATGAAAAATGTAGAATGTAAAAAAATGCCAAGTCTCGCAACGCATTCTTCCACTTCAAAAATTTGTTAGATCACAGTTTCTATTCAACAATTTTGTTATAAATTATTATACAGGGTGGTCCAAACTGTATTCCGGAAACTTCGGCAGCATATTCTGCAGATAAAAATAAGTAAGAAAGTTCGTATCAATGTATGTCCTAAAATTCTTCGTTTCAGAGATACAGGGTGTAGAAGTTTCATTTTTATTTCGATTTTTTTCAAATAATTTAAGAAGTAACGTCAATATTTGGATGAAAATTGGTGTCTGGGAGTTTTTTGACATGAGACCTTCTCGATATCATCCTATAATAACGGAGATACGGGGGCTCTGTCCCAAATTGCAAAATTTTCGAAAATACCCTGTAGCTCAGAAACGAAGAGAGCTATGAAAATTTTGTTTACAGCATCTTTCGTTTGACAAAAAAGTGGGACAGGTTTGTGCAAGCCGCACCCTTCTATCTTCACGAATAACGGAGATACCGTATGATTTCAAACAAAATTGAACACCCTGTACAGGGTGGTCCGAACTGTATTCCGGAATCTTCGACAGCATATTCTGCAAATAAAAATCAGTAAAAAAGTTCTTATACGTATGTCTGTATGTATTTAAATGTATTTTTTCTAAATAATTTCTGAAGTAAAGTCAATATTTGGATGAAAATTGGTATTTGGGAGTTTTTTGACATGGGAAAATTGATTTTGTTGTCAATATGATTCCTATTTCTAGGGGGCGCCACCTACAGGTGAATTAACTGTTTTGAAGAGTAATAACTTTTCGACCGCACCTGTATAAAACTATTGAGTAGCAATGATTTTTTACGTAAAAATGTCTCTTGGTAAAAATCGCTATGAGCAACCGTTCTCAAGATATTTAGAATGTAAATAGTCAATACAAGTCATTATTGAAAAATATAAGCACGACGTTCGTTGAGTAGATACCTAGTTATTTGATTGAAATAATAAATTTGGGAAATTTTAATTTTTTTAAATTAATCACAAATTTTTCGTCGAAAAAATGACAATAAAACAGTTTCTGTTGAATTTTTGGTACAAAAACATTTCAAATTTATGATTTCAGTCTAATAACTATGCCTACCATACCTGTTGGTACGGTCGGCTAAAAATGAAGGATGATCTACAAAAAGACCCCCTACAATGAGATCCCATTAAAAACATAGAATGTAAAAAATGCCAAGTCTCGCAACGCAATTCTTCTACTAAAAAAAGTTGTGAGATCTCATGTAAAACCAAACCATTTTATTTTATTTCTTTTTTCTATGGAAGTACCTATTCAAACATTTTTTTTTTATAAATTGTTAGTATCAATATTAGACATCTTTATTTCTGTAATAATTATAATGACTTGGCAATTATTGCATGGCACTATAATTATAAAAGAATAATCTACCATTTCGATTACTAAGTAAATCTAAACGGTTTTAATTAGCAGAATATCATACCGTGCAATTGCCAAGTTATTATAATTATTACAGAAATAGGGTTTAATATTGATACTATACAGGGTGGTCCGAACTGTATTCCGGAAACTTTAGCAGCATATTCTGCAGATAAAAATAAGTAAGAAAATTCGTATAAATGTATGTCCTAAAATTCTTCGTTTCAGAGATACAGGGTGTAGAAGTTTCATTTTTATTTCGATTTTTTTCAAATAATTTAAGAAGTAACGTCAATATTTGGATGAAAATTGGTGTCTGGAAGTTTTTTGACATAAGAAATTTGATTTTGATGTCAATATGACTCCTACTTGTAGAGGGCGCCACCTACATATTTTTTAACTGGTTTATAGAATAATAACTTTTCGTCCGTACCTGCACAACAACAACAACAACAACAACGCTTTATTGTGCAAAAAGCCAAAACAGCTTCATCGACAAAGCACTCACAAACAACAAAATCACAAAAAAATACAAACAACAAAAAATACACAATACAAATAATACAATTCAAAAAAATTTAAGTCTTTAAAATTACAAAAAGAATATACATGGACAATTTTAGAACAGTACGCAGTAAATAGATATAATTTTAAAGTTATAGAATATTAAATACTTGACCTTTGACCAGTGTGTGAGATGATCAAAATTTTAAAATTCAAAATTGTTCATAATCAAACATCAACAAAAAGTCGTTTACCGCGTATAGGGCTCTCTCCAGTAGGTATGATTTTAGAGCCTTGCGAAATGCGGGAAAGAATGAAAGCGATTTGATATTCAAAGGCAGATGATTGTACATTTTTTTGGCATTGTACAGTATTGAACCCTTAACTAGTTCTGAGCTCGGGGTTGGCAGATAAAGATCGTGCTCTGCATTCCTAAGTGGATAGTTATGAGATGGCCTTTCGGGAATAGCAGATATGTGCTTGCGGATTAAGCAAACGGATTCAAAAATGAATAAAGAAGGAAGAGTCAGTATTTTCAAATTTTTAAAGAAATTCTGGCAGTGAGTTCTACTGTTCAGTCCCAATAAATATCGAACTGCTCTCTTTTGAAGTATGAAAACACGATCAAATTTTGTTGCGCAGCAAGTACCCCAGAATGGAAGGGCATAACGAAGATGTGACTCAAAAAGGGCATAATAGGCTATTCTAGAGGTTGAGAAGTTAAGTTCCTTAGAAACTGATCTTAGCGCAAAACAGGCAGCGCTTAGTTTCTTTGATAGAGCTTCAATGTGAGAGTCCCATTTTAACGAGTTGTCTACAAGAAGTCCTAAGAATTTCACAGAGTCCACGACGTCAATAGTAGTGTTATTAAGTACAAAAGGTTGGTATAGTACTTTTATATGACAAAACTTTAGTTTTTGATAGGTTGAGGCATAGGAGATTAGAATAAGTATAAGTGTAAGTCATTGGATATAGTATCATATAGCGCCGCAACATCTGGGCCGCTCCAAGTGAAACTAGTATCGTCCGCAAAGAGGCAGATTTTACCGCTAATGTCCAGATTTGCAATGTCGTTGTTAAACACCAGAAACAAAATAGGGCCAAGTACTGAACCCTGAGGGTTTGGAAAAACTCCTTTTTGGAATGACTCGTTAATTAAAGTAGTAAGATGGTTTAATGTGCATTCAGGAAATTCAGAGAACATTTTGAGAGTAAGCCCATCAGTCCCAGATGAGGATTTGTTTTTAATACTATTAATTGTACTACGGAGCTCATCTAATACTACGGGCGTGAGGAAGAAACTGTGTAAATTCTCATTTGCTTTAGGAAGATATGAAAGTGAATCATGGGAAGGAGTTATGGTGTTAACTAAATTTTTAGCCACATTAACAAAGTAAGTGTTTAAATCTTCAGGTGAATTAAAGAGTGTGCCAGACGAAGAAGTCTTATTCCTTAAGTCATTTACAATAGCCCAAGTCTCCTTAGCGACATTACCGGCTTTGGCTAGCCTCGCATTATAATAAATGTCCTTGGCAGCTTTCATAGTCTTACGATAAACCTTTCTATAAAGTTTCACGTAATTATGAAAGAAGACGCTGTCTGTGAATTTCTTAAGGTGAGATAATGAGCGCATGTTCTTTGCAGTATACGCAAGCCTGTAGTAAACCAGGGTATACCTTGTTTACTTTTGATAGGCCTAAGAGGAAATGCCTTGTACGCCAGATTAGACAAGGTATCCATAAATCTAGAAAATTCGGAATCGACGTCAGCCGAGAGGACAACCCACTCTGTTGTTAGACATAGGTGGTGAAAATTTAGAAAATTTTCATCCGAAAAAATACGGCCCAATTTGCGCGAGGTATTTTTGCATTTGGATTTCAGCAAAAACCTTGTCAATACTGCCTCATGATCAGAGAAACCCGAGTGAAGGACTCTACAGTCAACGAATTCCGGGGCAAAAGACGACACGACATAGTCTATAGTACTAGAGCCAGTTTTAGTTATTCTAGTTGGTGAGTCAACATGCATGAGTATACCAAAAGAGTGAAAATGGACTGGAGAGACTCCTTAGCTGCACACACACTGGAAAAGTCAATATTCAGATCGCCACACAAAATTAATTTACTTTTTATAGGTAGGGATTCAAGCAAGCTTAGCAATATTTGACTGAAAATATGTACGTCAGCGTCAGGTGTTCTGTAAATACAAATAATATAGAGGTCAAAAGCATTATGATAAACGACGGAAAATTCAAAAATTTTTTCGGATATTAGAGTATCGAACTTTCGCCGAAAAGTCGTTGTTAGTAGACATTATCATAGTACCTCCATGAGATGAGTTAGTTCTATTGAATCTAGTTAATGTAGTGTATTTTTTGACAAATACAGACTCATACATATTTAACCAATGTTCAGTTATGGCAACAATTTCTGGAAAATTGAGCTCTTCTAATAAAAGATATAATTCATCCGTTTTATGTCTTAAGGACTGAATATTAATTAAAAAAACACTAAGCTTGCTATCGTCTAGTTTTTCAGAGGGTGCTTGATCCTCTATTCGCGTCATTTCACCTAAAAATTTGTAGTTTTACTTGGAGATAAATACTTGGTATGACTTTCCCTAATTCTCTGAAGCTGCTGAAGTTTTTCCGTTGAAAAGAAGGACCTGAAGGCAGAAAGATCCGCATCCACTTCAGCTGAGTCAATACCATAAACGTTGTGGAAGCGATAATACAGCCTGCGCAGGGAATCCGCGTCACTAGGAAGTCCCTCTGATGCCATAAATAATTTGATGCTGGTGTTGGTGTGCCCTTCAAAACACACACTTGAGGGTTGATCATGGAGATAGGCGAGGAATAGCCGAATAGGCTTTAATATAAGGGTCCCTCAGCCTAGCAAGCAAATAACGCCCATTTGCCTCATCCGAATTCTGCGTCATCCGAACCACAGGCGGAGTCAACGGGTCCATATGCAGCCCACCATCCCTCCTCGCACTCTCTTCCACAACAATTTCCACATTTTTCAGCCCAAGAGACTTACAGACAGCAATAGCCTCCTTGTCAGAACAAATCTTAGCAGATTTAACCTCCCTCGGTATATTCATGAATGTCGAGTCAGAGCAAGGTGGTAGACTTTGGATGTCAACAGTGTTTGATAAAATTTGTTTAGAGCCTGTGGACGAAGTACCTGGTGCTGGCGGTGATAACTTTAAAGGTATTGTAAAAGAATTGGCAGTGACTATTTCAGTACCTGGCGGCCACATACCTATGTCCTTCAGCTGCTCAAGGTGGCTCTTGTTCTGCACACCAATTTTGAAGTCAGAGTGTGAAATGTCCTTGTGTTTCAGCAAGGGAAAGCATCGGATAAAGTCAGTAGTTCAAAGCTTTTCCTTGACATAGTGTGCAAGCTGGTTTGCTGTATAAGGAGGTGGGATTTTGGACACTATCAGGTAATGCCAGTCTTCTTTCTGGGACAATCCATGAGGTGTGGGTGTGATGGTATTGGGACAGGTAATACCCACTGTATCCTTGTTATCTGAATGGTCAGTCTGCGTCGAAATAGATTTTTTTTCCATTTGTGGGTTTGGTTTGGTACTTTTAATGTTCTTTGGAGGAATGTTCTTGGATGTCTTTTCGCTGGAGGCCAACCTTTCCAACATGAGTGCCATTTTATTTACACTCAAACGCAAATCCCCAACTCCTTTGATAAGTCTTCCTTTGATGAGTCATGAATTTGGACCTTAATAGACTCATCATGATTGTCCAGTAAAATAGATGACAAGTTGAAAATATCTTGCTTCATGTCCCTGATGGAATGGAATAAAGATTCTTGTCTACCATCGGACAAACTGGTATGGAGGCTGTGAATGTCATCCACTTTCTTGTACAAGCTCTTACACTTGGAGTCATGGTAACTCAAAATATCGTACATCTCACTAATGACCGGAAGGAGATCATTGTTCTTCTTTAGACAGGTTCCCAGAGCTTCGACAGTGTCTAGAGAGGCTTGCGATTTTTGAACTTGAGTTATCTTGTCATGAAGATATTTTAACGTGGGTGAGTCACAGATATTGCAGAAAAATCTGATATTGTTGAACTTTTGTTGGCAGAGTATTTTTGTTGTTGTTTTATCTAACCCAGTACAGGACATACAAAAGTTCCAGCGACATTCCCCATTACAACGAAGTTTATATTTGTCCTTTTCCTGTATAACCTGTATAAAACTACTGAGTAAAAAATATACATTTACGTAGTTTTTACGCAAAAGAGGTATCTTGGTAAAAATCGCTACTAGTAGTGGTTCTCGAGGTATTTGGAATCAAAATTATCAATACCTATCATCATTGACATAAATTAAACATATTGACTAAATATCTAATACCCACCTAGATATTCGCTTATTTTATGTTGTGTAACAAGGCAAGGTCTGAGCTCCATTGAAGTTTCTTTATAAAAACGACCAATGGCAAGGATTGCTGGCATGTGAATGAGAGCAGGCGCAGCAATACGCAAATACCCGCGAGCCAGCTGGTACTGAATTAGTTGTGATCATAATTATCATCTATTTTTATAGTAGATATTAAAAATAACAGATAGAACGTTAATGCTTACACAAAATCTCGCAAAAAACTAATAAATTTCAGATAATTTGGTTGTAAATATTGTTTTTACCGAGCATTTAAAACAAAATCAACACATAAATTTATGATTTAACTTCATGAAGTCATAAATTATTTTTATATACACACGACCATTTATAACAGTTTATGAAATAAAAAAAAACATCAACTTTTTTATAGTTCATTTTTAATTACTTAAAAATTATATCTACCCTACTATATACAATGTGAACTAAAAAAGGGGGATTTCAAGATCGTGAATGCATATAATAATCAATTGCTGTTGAAAATGCTGCAAATCCTATAGCTCCAACTACGCCAGCTTTAACACCAGCTAAAAAAATAGTCGAATTATGAGATATAATTAGGAAGAAAAAAAAATACACTAATAAAGAAACAGTGTGTGCACTATGTGCGCATATTTGAAGTGAAACTTCTTACTAACAGCTGTTAATTTGAAGGATTTGTTTAAAAAAGTGACATATAATGCTATTTAGGTAAACTGTATTTTTTCTGTTTCCTCAATAGCTTGTAAATTTTGTGGAATACCTCCTAAAATACACCCTTTTATACGAATGTCTATATAAATAACGTTGACGCTTAAAATGATTTAAGAAGAGAAAAAAATTTGAACCTAACCAACAATTCGTATTTATAGTGGTTTACAGTAATCTTCCAGGTAATTTTTTGTTAAATTATACGAATATTCTCGTTGATTATTGGTTTGAAATAAGTATATGACAATGTCCTCCAATGAAAATGCGAGTTGCTTACCTCTAATAATTGTAATTCTGAGCTAGCAAATGAGCTGGATCCTTTACCTAGACTGTTATTCAGAAGCTACCTATCGATGAAAATATACTTCCTAGCACACAACCGGAGGATATTAGTACAGAGGTACAGTCGTGGCTAACGTCATACTCAAGGCCTGACTGTTTTGACAGTTCTACCGAAGTGGTCCAGAATTAGTAGTCGTAAACAAACCAATTGTTTTCATTAGTTTCGCAACAAATCTGTGTTTTTTACGCATTTCTATGCTAATAAAATTATACTAAATACTTTTGAGTGAATAGTGAACTATCTAGATCCGATTCATAACATCCTACCCGCGAAAAAAAACATACTTTCGGTAAAAATTATAGTAACACCAGCGATGCCGGCCGTGTGTCCGGGCTAGGAAAAAGTTGGGGAATTTATATAAAAACATAATTAATAGCATTAGTGTTAGTGTATAGTGTTAAACCAACGTAAGTGACGTGTATTTTTATGTAAAACAGTTTTCGTTTCTTTATTTTTAATTTGTGAAATAAAAAATTCCGCGACATTGTTCTGTGCCTGTGCCTTGTAGCAGCAATTATAATAAGTCCTCAGGATCTGTCTACATTCTCTTTCCCAACAATATTAACTGTAACTAGGTCACGTCCAAAACATACAGAACATGCTGTGCCTACAATTTTTCCAAATCAACCCTCTTATGGACCCTCTGTGCATGTTCCCATAAAGAGAAAACGTCCCGATGAAAGAAAACAAGATTTGGAAATTCAGGATGAAATAAATATTGAAAAGTATTATTATTATGAAATAGCAATATATTTTAAAGAAATTAAATGAATTTGTACTTTATTTCAGTATTTTATATAAAAAAAAATGATATCTTTATCTTTTTATTTACGATTTATGGAGATGGTTACTTGATGAACATCGAACTACAAATTACTTAATGTTAATAGTTAATTCTATCTGATATCCACATTTTTTAAATATGTTTTAAATATTTTTTTAATATTTGGAAACTTTTTATCACAAGGTATATTATTACTAGTTGCTAAATACTCGCTAACGCAATTTTAGGACACGCTTTTTATTATGTAGATTTTATTTTGTTCATCTTATGCTGTAGTTTATTTCATATTAATATTCGTGCTTTATATCTAAATTTTAATGCTATTCAATTACTTTAACGCGATAAAAAAAAATAAAGTTAATGTTATTTTTTAATACCTTTCTGTATAATATTTTTCATATTTATATCTGGCAAAACTATCAATTAATACTATTATTTATGCAAAAACTATATGCAGTACCATATGGCACAATACAAAAGCCAGACTAGTGCGGTGACGTCACAAATCGATGTCTCTGGCCTGTCTGTCATGTTGGTTATGGTACATTATCAAGTTTATTATAATGATTTTCTTAAGGTGCGTATTCATTATCCGAACGAACGAACGAACGAGCGAGCGAACGAATGAAATTCGGTATATTTGGACGGTGGACCGAACGCATGCGGTCGTTCGTTTGTTCGTTCGCTCGGCCATTAGTTTCGCGTCGGTACATCAAAGGCGTTCGCAAACGAATGGGTTAAGGTGTTTTCGTTTGGTTCTAAAATCCGGTCCCGTCCATACTACTACCGAACGAACGAATGAACATTCGTTCGTTCGTTCGGATAGTGAATACGCACCTTTAGCTTCAAATCAAATGTTTTTTGATGTCTGCGCGATCCTTACCACTTTTTTTTTCTCGCTAGCTCGTGCGCCAAGGCCGTGGTGTGTCACGACCTTGAATTTTTACTCCCAACGCGCGTAAAGAAGTTTCACTTCAAAAAAATAAAAAAAATACTACACAATACCAAAATTTAAAGAATTAAAATTTTTAATCCTGTAAAACTTTGACATGTTTTATATTCAGTTGTCTCTGTATTCTGGAAAGAAAAAAGATGAAACAAAAGTTCAAATTAATGGAATGGTGAATCAAATATCAATGTTGGTTTCAGTCTTTAATTTGTGTTACTTAAAAATTAATATATCCTTAACGAAGTTACTAATTCTCAATATTCTTTTCAGAAGTATATTTTAAATAATTGAATATAATGGCAAAAATATTAAAAATGGTCTGCCCAGCAAAGAAATATCATAGTGACATAATAGTATTTTGAATTTTATCCAAATATTTGCATACTACTGAATTAAATGGTAGACAACTGCCTCTACTATGTACTCTCTCTTTTTGGACAGACTATAATATATTTATGTTAACAGAATATTTATTCTTGTGAATTTAAAACAAACATAAACATCAATAATACCATCATAATTGGTTTTATTTAGATTCTTACCTCTCAATCCTATCATTCCTCCAGTGACAGCACCTGCATAAGTTCCATTTTTCCAGTCAGATTTTCCCCTCATCTATAAGCAAAATAAGTCATAATATATCACCTATTTCATGTTAACATTTATTCGCACAAAGTACACTATAGTAAAGTCTTTACCGTTTCAATTGTACATTCCACTCCAGAAAAAACGGCACCGATCAAGGCAAAGTTCTTGGCATAACTTAAAGTTGTCGTTTTCATTTCCTTAAAAACCTGTCTTGCCGTTTGGGTTTCTATACTTGTTGCTGAACTGGGCCCTATACTAGATGAGAATAATCCAATAACTGCCCCCAAACCATATCCTTAAGAAAACTGATTAGAAGAGCCTCATAAAATTATTTTGTGTCTACCTGCCACACAGCTCATTATTACTTTAAAGGGGCAACTTTCGAAAAACGCCTCTACCATTTTTTCTTCGTTCGTTTTTATTTGTATGGGTCCTAAATTTTTGGGTATGATTATATTCTCTCTGTATCTGTAATTGTTTCCTACGAAGTAATTCGTTAAATAAACCCATTCTTGTGGTGTAAATTGCCTTTTCTCAGTTGTCTCATTAGACATTGTTTCGTTAAATTAATGCGAAAAATTGATTTATTTTAACAAAAACAATTTTAAAAGTTCACAATTTTTGATATTTTAAATTATAACCTGTTATAACTTATAACCTCACTTTAGAATGAAAACGTCAAAATTTTGAATATATAGGCAACTAAATATACAGGAAAAAGGTGTGGAGGGGAAATGTCAAAAACAGCTGTAATGATTAGTGTATTATTTTGTTCATTAATTTAAATATGAACAAATAATATTTGTAACTGCTTTTTTAGAGAAAATGTTTACAATTTTATATTTTAAACTACCTGTTTTAAAATGACCGAAGGAAATGTAAGTAGTAAATACTATTTTATTAACCTCTAAATTATTTAAATATCAAATATATTTTCAGGAGTATATGAGTGATTCAGAATGTTCAGAAGACGAAATAGAGCCGAAATTAAAATACGTGCGTCTTTCCAATGACTTAGCTAGAATTCTTTCAACTACTTCAGCAACATGTATTGCAGTACACACAAAAGTATTAAACAGCATCTAGTTGTCCTTATTTCAACAATAACATCCAATTATTTGCAGTTTATTTGTTTGGGCTCACACTCGGGCATAATATATATTTTAGACCATCAAGGTAACAGCATTAAAGGCAAAGAACTGAAAGCCCACTCTGTAAGCGTTAATCAAATAGCAATTGATCAGAACGGCGAATATATTGGGACTTGTTCTGATGATGGCAGGGTGTATGTTTATGGACTGTTTTCACGAGAAAGCAACTATAATCTTAATGTTGGTAGACTTGTAAAGACTGTTGCTTTAGATCCCTATTTCAGTAAAAATCCAACTAATAAAAGATTTATTACTGGTAAGATAACATCTTATACATTTGTATTGTAATTATAAAAGACATTTTAGGTGATGATAGATTAACTTTGTATGAACGGACGTTTTTTGGAGGTCCCAAGCCAACAATTTTGTGTGAAAGTGAGGGTTTAGTGAGAAGTTTATGTTGGGGAGAGAATTTTTTAGCATGGTCTAGTAATATTGGTGTTCGAGTTTATGATATGAATGCAAGATGTTCTCTAGGACTGATTAAATGGGAAGAACACCCAGGGTTGGTATATTAAGATTTTATTTATCATTTAAAAAACTTTTACTTTACATTTTTCTTTATTTTAGCATTTCTATTGAAAAATTTCGTTGTAATTTAAGATGGGCTGATAGTAGAACCCTGTTAATTGGTTGGGTGGATACTGTTAGAGTTTGTGTTATAAGAAAAAGAAGTAATATTGAATTAGCAAATAGGGCATTACCTGAATATCTGGTTGATCCTGGTAAATTAAATTTTTAAAACATAATTTAAGTTACACCATGTAAAATCCTTTTTAGTGTCAACATTTCAAACTGAATTTTATATTAGTGGTATAGCTCCGTTAGATCACCAGTTAGTACTGTTAGGTATTCCTAAAGAACTTGATGAGAACAATAAAAGCTTACGTCCACAATTATATATAGTAGAATACAAAGACAATGATTACACAGATAATTGTACTGATAGTTTATCTTTAAGGGGTTAGAAATGGTTATAAATGTGTAACAGCATAAATTTATATGTATTTTTTAGGGTATGAAGAATACTCTGTAAATGATTACCATTTGGACGTGTTGATAGAAGAAAATGTATTTTTTATTGTTGCCCCAAAAGATGTAGTTATTGCAAGTCCGTATGACTTAGATGACAGAATACAATGGTTTATTCAACATAAGTGAGTAATTGTCATATTTTTAGGTAATAATTTTAATGATGTTGGTTGTCCAAATGTTAAAAACTAGTTTTTACGTGAAAAAGCATATGAATTTTGTAATGTGAAAACCACATCTTTGTATCTCTACTCATAAACAAGAAACCCCTAAAACACATGAAAATGGGACACCCTATACATATTTATGGTTTAAATAGTTATTCTCTGGTAAAATACTAGTCTTGTATATACAAGGTGGATCCAGAATGAATGTATTTTTTTTAATGTTCCAGCAAATTAAAAGAATAATTCACCACAATACACCAATATTATATTTTTAATTGCAATAAACAAATTGTTCGTCATAAAGCATCATAAGCAGATGATTCAAACTAAACTAATATCTACAAATTGAGCGTTTATATAGGTGCTCAATTGGCACCGAGTAGGCGTGGCAAAAACTGGCCTAGCGAGTCAAAACCAACCGAGCTTAACAATTAATTACCGAAACTAGAGCAGTAGAAACAGAGAGCTAGAAGGAATTGGCCTATTGTCTCTGTTCATACTCTCTTTACATTTATTAATTTTGACGTTTTCATATGTATCTAATTGCCTGTAATTTGAGACTTGTTTAAATAATTTTAAATTATTACTATCTATACAATGTTCTTTATCAACAATATGTTGGGCAACGCAAGATTTATCCAGTCTACTGTATCTTATCTGGGCCAAATGTTCTTTAAATCTAGTTAATATTGATCTTCTAGTTTGCCTAACATATTGCTGATTGCAATCTTTACATGAATCTTGTTTTCCTAAGAACGTATTTTACTCAAAATCTAGAACAAAAGTATTATAGGATCATATTTTGGTGAAGAACAAACTTAATTTTATTCTTAAACAGTGTTTTTTGTCATTTTAAGTAAATTTGATGAAGCTATGGAGATTATCATGCACAATGATGGCAGAAATATACATAGGCACACCATTCAGTCTGTTGGCACAGACTACTTGGATCACTTGCTTAGCAGAGGGATGTATGACACTGCTGGCCAGTTAGGTTTAAAGATTTTTGGAAGGAATCCTTCCCTGTGGGAAGATCAAATTTATAAGTTCGCCAGTGTACATCAACTAAGGTAAGAATTTATTTTTTTTCTAAGCAAAGTCAACTGAAATTAATTTTCAGATCGGTGAGTCCATACATTCCAAAAACATTAGACTCAAAATTAAATCCGCACATATATGAGATGATTCTTTATGAATATCTTAAGCTAGATGGGGAGGTACATCAATAAAATTATATTTATTTAACATAAATTATTATTTTTTATTTATAGGGTTTTCTGCAGCTCCTTAAAGAATGGCACCACAATCTTTATAATGTGTGTGCAGTAATAAATGCCGTTTTAGAACATTTGCTTAATTGTGATTCTAACAAAACTGTGTATTTGGAAGCCTTAGCCATTTTGTATAGTTATGAGAAAAAGTATGATAAAAGTTTATCCATGTATCTTAAGTGAGTATAAAATTAAAAAAATGTGCGTTAACAAATCAAAGCATTTTTTTTGCTTTAGATTAAAACACAAAGATGTTTTTACGTTAATACAAAAACATAAATTATTTGGTGTTATTCAAGATATGCTCATCGAACTAATGGATTTAGATGATAAGAAAACTATAGCCTTATTATTGGAGAAAGACAGCATTCCAGTGGAGAAAATTGTGGAGAAATTGAAGGAAAACAAACTGCATCTGTACAAGGTATTGGTTAGGTTAGGTGGCTGGGGTTTGGGATCATGTTTGATCCCTCACTCAGAGGCCTTGGGTCCATTGCGATACTCCTATATTACTGTACCAAACCTTCCTCTCATACTTCTTTGCGTTAATGCACTTCCACTAAAGCTTTTAGCAAAGTTCCCGATGTCGCTGATGTTGGCTTCTGCTGCTTCCTCTAGTCCTTCCAAAAAACCTGACCCTAAAGTTTTAAATCGTCGGTATTCCAGAGCCGGACAGTGGCACAGCAGGTTCCCTATGGTTTCTTCTTCCACTCCGCATTCTCTGCAGTAGTCGTCGTTGGAAACCTTCCATCCCACAAGGTTTACCCCCGTGCGGCAGTTTCCAGTAATGATACCTTCAATTATGCGTACTAGGTTCTTTTAGGTACCTAGGTACCTTTTCTTTCCTAGGTACTAGCACAGATTATACAGAGTATAAACTTTGTTTTTTCTTTATCGTTTTTCGTGGTTCCAATTTTCGGAATCGGGTACTAGTTAGGTTACTAGTTTGCGCACATAGCACGCCCACTAATGGCCTCAAAAATTGTGCACAGCGCCTGACCGGCACAATTATTAGAAAGATATCGGAAAACCGAATAGCGTCATGCAGTATTTACGCGTACCTTATCATGGTTACGATATGCGCGAGTCAATTTTTAACGCAACACCCGCTAATAACGTTACCGCCTGACGTAATTTGCGGATCAATTACACCAAGCGCTATTTCTAAATAACGTTTAAAAATTCCTTAAATGGGCATGTGCGGGTATTTGACAACCGGGGCCGGCCGGCGAGATCTTTTATTTTAGGTTATGTTTGAATTGTTTTGAATTATTACTTTAGTTTTATTAGGTAATTTGATATTTAATAAAGCTGGGATTAGTTTTAATTAAATAAATATGGCCCAAAATATGGATTCCACCTTTTCCAATATTAAAGAACCTATAAAGAGGCTGAGGTTTACAACAGATGACGACTTAGCCCTTCTAAGAGAATTTGTTGCTTGTTGCCCTAAACCCACTAGCAGACGTTGAACAATAAAGCACTGGAAATAAGCACTTTAGTCCTTTAGTTTAAAATACCTAGTAAACAAAACAATTTCAAAGTTAGGTTAAGTTTAAATAGCGGACGCGACGCGAACAGAATTCTTTCCGATCCGATAACTACAAATGAAGAGAGTTAATACCACCTCACGTAAAAGAAATAACACCTGGCCTTATTAACGTCCATGCACGATATTCGGTTTAGCGATATCTCTCTATTACGCTGTTTATTGTCATTTTACGCCAGTTTATTTTTGCGCACAAGAAATTTTACTCGTTTGCACATCGTCATAAAAAACAATTTTCGTACCACGAATTAGGGATAAGATTTTTATCTGTATACATATAGTATACCTAATCTGTGGTACTAGGTTCTAGTTGTTTTGACTTTTTTCTATCTATCACTGGCGACTGTCTTCAAGCTGTAGCGTAGTACTCGCGGTGTTGCCACGTCGCTTGCTGCTTGGCCTTGATGGTAGTTCTTATAGCTTCCTTCATTGTGCTGATTGTCACAAGTGGTGGGTCATCTGCCACAGCCTCTTCTCCGGCCCTCTTTTTGGCGAGTCTGTCTGCTTCTTGGTTGCCCACCACATTGCTGTGTCCTGTCACCCAGCACAGAGTAGTCCCGCCTTGACGCAGCCAGGACAGTGCTTCTCGGTAATCCATCACAGTTTTTGATCTCACTGATTGCATGGCTTAGAGCGCCCAAGTTGGCAGAGTATATCACAATATCTCCTATTGGTTTATCAGCGATTTTCCCTTGTATACAACTGACTGCTCACTTTATAGTGTATAATGTAATAATTTATTATGTAGTAATTTTTTATAAAAGACTTATACATTTTAAATTTTTTTATTGAATTCCTAATTTGACATTATTTTAACAATACCTAGATAGGTGATATAGTTACAAAAAACAAATAAAATCTATTCAGCGAGATACAATGACTGGCAAAAAGTGGCAAAATGCGAAATAATGCGAATTTTTGTATAAAGAAAATCGTTTGTTTGTATTGCAGTATCTTGATGAATATGATAAAAAGAATCCTCAAGGCAAATACCATGAAGAACTTGTCAGATTATACGCTATTTTTGATAGACAGAAGTTGTTACCATTTTTGAAGAAATCTGATCATTACCTAATAGATGACGTACTGGATATTTGCAAGAAAGAAAAATACTATCCAGAGATGGTTTACCTTTTAGGTACATAAACTATTTGACTTACTAACATTTTCTCTGTAATCTATTATTGCAGATCGCCGTGGCAATCTAAAAGAGGCACTGGATTTGATCATGAACCAACTGAAAGATATGCAATACGCCATTTCTTTTTGTAGAGAGCATGATGATCAAGATCTTTGGAATGATTTGATCAATTACTGTATAAACAAACCAGGTAATTATAAAAATAACCCTAAATGAACCAATTATGTTTTAAAGTTGATATTTTCAGAATATATCACATTCCTATTACAGAGCATTGGAAGTTATATAGATCCTACTGCTCTTATTTTGAAAATAAAGAAAGACATGGTTATTCCCGGTTTAAAGAATTCTCTTATTAAAATGCTGAATCAGCATAATTTACAGGTATAGAAAAATAATTTATATACTTTTACCACTCTGCACCAAAGCACTTTATCACTCTGGGTGCAAATTTACTAAAACCATATTTTCCAAAATAATCGCTTGCCATATCTCTCGTGTATGTATTGTCGATTTCGGTCTTGATGAGATAAACGCAATTTTATTAATTTGCCTTAATGTAAGTCTAACAATAACCTTTAAAATATTGTCAAGGTGTCTGTGGCGCTAAACTGTATTGCTGGTTGCCTACATTGTTGCAACGTGTCTTGCTGGTTGCCTACGTGTATTGAGAAACCTGGCGAATTCGCCAGAAAGTGAAAGACGTTTTTGTTGAAGCGCCATCTCTTGGCTAAGTGCAAAAGCGAATCGGGCAGCAGTAGAATTTTCCGGTAGGAAGTAGAACGCTCTCCGAGAATTGTATACTACTCTCCGCGATAATAAATTAGATTAAATAAATGATTTATTAATTTTATTGACTGCGACTAATACGTTTATCTTATCAAAGAGATCTAAATCGAAAAAATATCAAGATACAACTCTTAAACATCATTAAACGGCCTACACAATTTTGCTAACAAGAGAAAATACTCAATGGGGCACATTTTTTTAGAAAAGTATTTCAGTGCATCTCCCTGACAATTCTATCGTCAGTTTTTTATTATTAAAATATGTAGCACTTATAGTAATTCTTACCCTCAAAATATTCAAATCACTAAAAGCACTTGGAAGAAAATTAAAATAAATTGAGAAAAATTAAGATTTTAACCCTCTGTATCTATGAAACAAAGCAGAATCGGACCTATGTTGATATAAAAAATAAATTTTATTTTTACATTTACAGCAATTTCCCCACGAGAGATGGCACATATTTTTTGAAACACCCTGTATAAACGTAAATAATTTAGTTTTAAACATCTCTGCTCATTAGTGGAGTATTCAGATCGTTTTTTCCTATTACACTGTGGTATAGTGTAATTCTTTTAATTTTTAGGTGTCTGTCCAAGAAGGTTGTAAAAAAATTCTGGTCTCAGATTATTTCAATCTGCAACAAAAACTGGTGAATGTACATCAGAAAGGAACTTCAGTGAGTGAAGAAATTGTTTGTGGTGCATGTCATTATAAACTGATTGGGAAAGGTAATAATAAACGTTATTCTAAAAAAATATCTGAATATTACGTTACATTGTCTCTTCTTTTAGTGGCTTCTACGACTAGTAACTTAATTATATTCAATTGCAAACACGCCTTTCATACACTGTGTATCAATGATAATACGACGAGATGCGCCGTTTGTTATCCTCCAAATAAAATTAACTGAAGCTCATTTACAAAGTAAGTATATTACAGTTGGGGATTGTAACTTTTGGTATTACAACAGCAAAATAAAACACTCATTTACCAGCGCTAACCATACCATCATTAGCTGATGATTAAAACTAAACTAATATCTATAAATATAGCGTTTAGGTAGGGTTGGTATTAGAATTGCACCATTATCGCGACTCATAGTGACGCTCTCATAAGCGTCTAATTGCCTTTAATTTGAGACTTGTTTAATTAATATTATAATAATAAATAATAATATTGTTACGTTTTTCGTCGGTTCCGTGTGGATAGAAAGTCACAATTTATTTACACTAAGTAACAAACAATAACGATTAAAATACTTAAAGAACAATATACAAACGATTTATAACTATTTATCTAGAAAGAATTTATTTTGAATTTAGCGCGACAACTGTACTCGTCTATTTATCTCTGTCCTCTTCAGGCCCCAGCCGCCGACTTTTCTCGATTTCCAGATTTCTCGAATAATCCATAGATCATTAGGTGCATAGAGAAGGTTTCGAATGTTCTCGTATGTACTACTCCATTCTAGTGGAGCTCGATTGTTCTCGAACGTTCCAATGAATCATTACGGTGTCTATTCTTTAATGCGATATTAAGGTCATATGGGGGCGGAACATTTTAGCTAGTTAGGTTATGCCAAGTCCACACGGGTCCGCAACAATATCTATACAATATTTATCAACAATATGTTGAGCAAGACAAGATTTATTCTGACTTCCATATCATGAATTTTGAAGCCATAAGTTCTCAACCCATCAGAACTCTGCCCACCATATTTCTGATGGGTTGAATATCTGGATAATGGATTGTATTACACTCCTTACATGAGATTTCATAACTACCCGACTTTTCCAGTGGAGGTGTTTGATCTTCGAATTAAATAAACTAGTAGGTAGGCTTTTTTATTTTATAAATCTCCAACTAATCGTTAAAACATTTTGAACATTGTGAATGAAAAATTTAATTTAAATTGTACCTAAACAGAGCTGGTTCCATTATTGAAAATTTCATAAAAACATACTTAAGTAAGCAGAATTTAATTATAACTGCGGCGTTCTCAATCCACCAGGTTTATGACAATTGCTTGAAAATATTTCAGATATTTTTTATTCAGTCTAGGGTAAAAACTTTCAACTTTTATTAAGTATGTTATAACCTATTTTTAATAGTTTGCAATTTATTCCATTTTTTCTATTTTTACTCATATTCAAAATTTGATATGTCCGTTAAGGAAGTTAGGAACAAAACTTGAATTTAATTTGTTTAAGTATAGATGGCAGAGATAATAGTTACAGAGTTTCCTGAAAATCTGTAAAGATTTATAAACCTCGAAACAAATAAAATAATGGACTTTATCGTTGGCTCATCCTGTACAATTGCTAATGGAGGATTTTTTCTTTGCCATTTGGAAATATTTGGAAATTAGTTGCAAAACTGATTAATTATTTATAAATGAAAAGACATGTTTCCTTTAACATCTTTTAACAATCGTTAAATGACATTTAAGAAAATACCAGATAAATTTTTTATTTGAATTTACCGCAATAATTTACAAACATACAATATATTATATACATATATAACTTTGTAAATCACCAATATCCTCCGTTACCATCCGTGTCCCCATTTGTACCATAAAAATACTGTTTTTCGGGTATTTTGAAGGGTTGAAAGTTCGTAAAGTAGTCGAGGGTAAATGGCATAATGTTTTCGGGTTTCAATAATAAAATACTCTGCATATAATCGCCGATCATATCGTTGATTTCTGGGTGATCTTTCAAGTAGGTTTTCATTTTCAGCTCGGCTTCAGCCTAATAATTTTCAGGATTAGATTTTTGGAATACCGGGTGCGTCTCAAAACTGGCTGACTCCTATCACTACAACTTTTAAACACAAAAGAAAAATATAGAAATGAAACTCTGAATACAATGACATATCATATGTCAGCTTTTGACATTTTCTCGAAATACCAAGTACTTTTGACAATTAGACTCGAAATACCAAGTGTGTAGTATCAAATTATTCGTAAAAAAAATTATTTTAATTTTTGCAAATATGGTTGCATAAATGTGCCACCCTCGTTCCATTTGAAAAAATTGAGATATGAATAAAAATACGATTTGGGTATCTTTTAACCAGCCAGGATAAGACGCTAAAAATATTAGACGATCAAATCTATTTTTCCAAGGTTCCCTAATTAAAAATTAGTGTTTTTAACGCAACCATGGCACTCTAGATTGAAATTTAAAATACGATTTTTTTAAGCGAGAATGTCATAAGTTGACATATATGATATATCATTCTATCCAAAGTGTCATTTTCTATCGAGTAAAGTAAAAAAAATACAGAGGGTGCCATTTAAAAATCAAAAGTTGTAGTCAATTCCGGTGAAACAGGAAGTGACCGAAAACAATTATTGAATACGTCAATCAATCCTAATTTATGTCATTTACTAACATCTCTTTAATACATAAAAATCTCTTTTTTTATATGAAAAAAAAGTTATAGGGGTGAGCCACTTTTGAGTATGAAGGGTGGACCAAAAAATTGCAACAAATTTTTATTATTGAAATGTCGAAAAAATAAAGTATGTAAAACAAGAAAAAGTTGTTCAAATTCTATTATATATGTATCGATTTTCATAATTATACAGACTTTTAATAAATTACAAGTTTTGTACATTTTTAGAATATATGTTAATACAATATTCATTTTATGATTGTGCCTAAAAGAAATAATGACGAAAAAATCGGAATATTTATAATTTATACCTATGTATTAATAGTACCGGATGAACGAAAAAGAACTGCATCAAGGGCGGCTAGGAATGACCTCACCAAAATTATCGATTGTCTTTCCCCAGATTGTCCTTGACGCCATTTTTTTTCGTATGGTGCCGTATGATCGAATAAAAACGGCGTTTACTTGCCTTGGAAATGACGATCAATGACATTTCCGATATAATTATACATACAAAATGACAGCGATCTTAATTTCATAGCCATCGCTGACAACGTCAATTTCTACTGCTAGAATGATCTAGAATTAGGCCTCAGAGAGTGTACAGGGTGTGTCAAAAAGTTCACAACAAACACGAATTTTTATTAAAAAAAAAACAAACAGGAATATTGTTTAAAAAAATCTCAATAATTATTTCTTTTCATTTTTTGCAGTCTTTTTTGGTACCCCTATGGATACTTACCTTGCAGTCTAAATATTTGGACAACAGTTGCATATCAGTGTGCCAACTTTTCACTAGTTCTACTTGGTCATAAGGTACTGGTTTTCCCACGGTCGCAATGAGTGGGTTTATATGGATAATATATGAACATCCTTCCCATTCTTGACTTACTATCATCCCTGTATAAATTATCATTTTAATTATAACAATTCTTGTCTGTGTGTAATTTTTATACGTGTGTAAGTATCAAAAATAATGATTTTGTGTTATTATATTAGTTCTGACTTTGCATTGTATTTTAATCTAATTATAAGTGTTTTATGATTGTATGGTTTTGAAAATTACCATATACCGTCATCACAGTTACAGATATATGAACCAAACCGCACTCTTCATAGATTATCCTGTATATCTTGCAGATATCTACTGGATTGTTGTTTACAAATCCTGGTGTTGCTCCTTTGCATTCCTATGGTTTGAAATTAATCATTTATTTTTAATGTTTCTGTCGAATTTATTACTCTCTCGCCTGTACAGACTATACTCACGTATATATTTCGACACATGCTTCCATTTATATATATCGTCGATAGTTCAAAAGTGCCCACGTATCGAGTTATAGCGAGGTATCGCATCAAAAGAAAATTGGCACCTTCGCCCACATAATCTTTAGCTTTGCTTAAAGGATAGTACTTTCTGGTTTCCGATTCTTTTTCGATGTTTGCGTGGTGCCTAACGTAGTACTTGTCTTGTTGTAGAGCAGTATATAGAACTTGCTGGATTGGAGTTTCACCTTCGTCATATATGTATCTGAAATTTTATTAGTTACTGTAAACATTTTTGTATAGGAATAATTACAAAAAGCAGTGCTCGATATGCTTGCGACGTCAAAAAACACGAAAGGCCGGTTTCAACTGTTCGGCTTTGACGCGATACATTAAAGGGACGTTTCGGGGCCATGGGGAGCATACTTGACAGCAATTCGAAGCGCCCGAGCTTGTGTTTTTTTTAGATGTCCGAACCGCACGAACGCAAGCACTACACTACAATGTGGACGCTGTTGCTTACGAGCCGAAAGATCTTGTGACTTGTGAAACACGATAAATAGAAGCGCAAGCAACGTAAGCACAATCAGAAGCAAGAGCGTGCAACGAGCAATGTGGACGCACCCTCAGATATTTTTAGCTGGCAGTGACTCAAAGGGTTCAAACGCACTGACAGCCAGGTCGCAGCGACCAGCATTTGATTCAATGTTATTACTGGTCGCAGCTGCGTTTCCTAATAATATTGAATCAAATACTGGTCGCTGCGACGTCAGTGCGTTTAAACCTGGTCGTCAGTGCGTTTAAACCCTAAAGGTGCGTCAAGACCTGACCTCAAAAAAGTGTTGCGGATATAACATATTTTTTTTAATGGTCGATTTTTTTTTTAATACCCTATTTTTTATTTCCTTAGATTCTACGTACAATTCGGTAACTTTTTTGCATATGATATACAGGGTGGTCCGAATTGTATTCCGGAAACCTCGGCAGCATATTCTGCAGATTAAAATAAGTGAAAAAGTTCGTATAAATGTATATCCTAAAATGCTTAGTTTTGGAGATACAGGGTGTAGAAATTTCATTTTTATTTCGATTTTTTCCAAATAATTTCTGAAGTAACGTCAATATTTGAATAAAAATTGGTGTCTGGGAGTTTTTTGACATGAGAAATTTGATTTTCATGTCAATATGACTCCTACTTATAGAGGGCGCCACCTACATATTTGTTAACTGGTTTGAAGTGTAATAACTTTTCGTCCATACCTGTATAAAACTACTGAGTAAAAAAATATACAAAAACGACTTTTTTTACATAAAAAATGTCTCTTGGTAAAAATCGCTACGACTAATGGTTCTCGAGATATTTGGAATCGAAATTATCAATACCTGTCATCATTGACATAAATTAAACATGTCGAATAAATAGTTATTAGACTGAAATCACATATTTGAAATCTTTTTGTGCCAAAAGTTCAACAGAAACTGTTTAATCATCATTCTTTCGCAGAAACATATAACTATACTCAACGTGTGCTTATTTTTTGTCAATGATGACATGTATTGATTATTTTTATTCTAAATATCTTCAGAACGGTTGCTCGTAGCGATTTTTACCAAGAGACATTTTTTACGTAAAAAGTCATGGAAATATATATTTTTTCAGTCGCTAGTTTTATACAGGTACGGACGAAAAGTTATTACTCTTCAAAACAGTTTAAACACGTGTATGTGGCGCCCCCTACAAAGAGGAGTCATTTTGACATCAAAATCAAATTTCTCGTGTCACAAAACTCCCAGATACCAATTTTTATCCAAATATTGACGTTACTTCAGAAATTATTTGGAAAAAATCAAAATAAAAATGAAACTTCTACACCCTGTATCTCCGAAACTAAGCATTTTAGAACATACATTTATATGAACTTTTTTACTTAGTTTTATCTGCAGAATATGCAGCCGAAGTTTCCGGAATACAGTTCGGACCACCCTGTATATCTAAAATTAATAGATATTGTAATAATTCAATTTGTTTAAAGAAATCTTAGATTTTGGTACGGTAAAAACCCAGGGTAAAATTTGTCAGTGACGCAAAATTTGTAAATTTTATCAGAAAAAAATATAATACATAAATTGTACCATTTAAAAAATTTGAGATTATTAAATTTTAAATAGTCGAAATTTATAAATCAGAGCTAATATCTCGCCATCGAGCGAGCCAACCAAAAAAACGTCCAGACTGCCTTAGAAGTTTCTTTGATCGGCCGTCGCAAAACCGACAGAAGACGGATAGCAACGAGGCTCCGTAGGTTGTCTCGCGAGAACCTCTGATACGCAGATACGCCGACTCGTCCACCGTCCACACTTTGCGAATTTGGAATGGTCTCGCGCTCATCTCGCTCTCGTCTCGTCAGGTCTGGACGCACCTTAACAGAGATGATTTCAAGTCCAAAAGTTGTAGTCCAAGAAGATTTTTGATCTAAGTTACTTTGAAACATCTAAACATTTTTTTTAATTATTTTATATTTACCCCCGAGAAGGGGTGAAATAAATAAATAATTTTTTTTTCGAAATTTCGGAGAAACGGTAAAGAACTAGAAAAAAAAGTTCAAATTAAAGTTGTGGAACGTCAAATTTTACATAGAAATTATTTCTATACTTTTTTTGCTCAGGTCAAAATTAACCGAGATAGGGTGGCTAGAAGCTAGGGGATGGTAGTAGAAATTTAAAAAAAAATATATAAGTTGCTGAAAAATTCATATATTTAACATTTTTATTCAATTTGTTTGGAAAATTATAAATTTCAATTAAGATGTTTTTAAATTCACCCCGAGAAGGGGTGAAAAATATAAAGTGTTTTTTTTTTCAAAATTCATAGAAACGGTAAAGACTTTGAAACAAATGTTTCAATAAAAGCTGTCCCCTAGCTTCTAGCCACCCCATCTCGGTTAATTTTGATTTGAGCAAAAAAAAAATATAGATGCCATTTTTAAGTAAAATTGAACGCTCCACAACTTTTATTTGAACCATTTTTTCTAGTCCTTACCGTTTCTCCGAAATTTCGAAAAAAGAATTTTATTTATTTCACTCCTTCTCGGGGGTTTTTCTAAAAAAATCTTTCACAATCCGTTTTTAGATCTTTCAAACTATATACTATATCAAAAATTCATGTCTACGAAAACTTCGTATTTGAAGGCCTATTTTCTTGGCTATTATTGCTTTAATTGAGCATTGTAGAAATCAACTTCTGAACTTTTACGACAGTGGCATTACAAAAACAATAACTACTATTTCATAAGTGTTTGCATAAGGATTAAAAAGAAATTTAATTAAATTTATAGAACTGATTACTAAACTCTGTTCTTCGTTCTTCTAGGGTGTGAAGTTGTTGATCGACCCAAGTCACCAACCTGGATCCGGCGTTGCAACCGTCTACGTCAAACTGGCTTGACATATGGATGACGAACTTTCGCAACACTGTCTGTTTTTCTTCCTCGAGAAAAGACTCGTATTTTTGCAAACGCTCTTCTCCGCTTTCTAGTGATTGTTCGGACGTTTTTTCGTGAGCCTGCGGCATTAGTCCTTTATACGCAAAAATATATATTTTAAGCAATTGTTTATATTGTTTAAATATGTTATTTTTTTTAACTGTAGTAGTGAAATTGCTTATTCACAGTACCTAACTGTATATGTTGTGGCGGTTTACTTTGAAGTGTCTAATATCTTGTCTCTCTTTCTAATGTACGTAGAGAGAGAAAGATATGGACCCGGCGGGGAGGACGTGTATGCGCAGAAAGTGAGACGCAAAAGCTTTCGAAAATATGCAACATATACCGTTGTGTTGTGTATAAACTGTGGTAGTGACTAAGAAAACAACTCAAATAATAACAAGTAGGGTAAGTCGGAAAAAATAGGAAGTTCTAAACAATCAGAAAATCTGAGAAATGTACTGTCTAATACCTAATACACACCTTATACCGGGTGCGTCTCAAAAGTGACTCACCCTTATAACTTTTTTATTTTTTCAGATAAAAAACGAGATTTGATATAAATGTATGACATAAATTAGAATTGATTGACATATTCAATTGTTTTCGGTTACTTCCTGTTTCACCGAAAATTACAACAACTTTTGATTTTTAAATGGTACCAGTAAATGGTAGTATTTTTTACTTTAAGCTGAGTTATATGCATCCATAATGCGTCGTCCGTCATTCTGTCAGTCCAATCATATGAGAGCTGTAATTTTTGAAATAACCAATAAAATTGCATAAAATCAACGACACGACGGACGACACACTACAGATGCATGTAAATCCTCACACTTATTCGATAGAAAATAACACTCTGGATAGAATGACGTATCACATGTCAACTTTTGACATTCTCGCATATGGTTTATTTGAAATTCTAACATGCGGTTCATAACGATAATACGATTTGGCCATCGTTTAACCGGCCAGGACAAGACACGAAAAACATTAGATGATTAAATCAACTTTTCCAAGGCGCCTTGATTAAAAATTAGTGTTTTTAACACAGTCATAGGTCTCTAGATTAAATTTAAAATACAACTTTTTTTAAACGAGAATGTCAAAAGTTTCTATTCCGAGTGTTATTTTCTATTGAATAAAGTAAAAAAATACCGAGGGTACCTTTTAAAAATCAAAAGTTGTAGTAATTTCCGGTGAAACAGGAAGTGACCGAAAACAATTGAATACGTCAATCAATCCTAATTTATGTCATATACTAACATATCAAATTTCGTTTTTTTATCTGAAAAAAATAAAGTTATAGGGGTGAGCCACTTTTGAGACGCACCCGGTATAGAAGATGTCCCATTTAAAAAGTATACTAATATACTTTGTTTTTTTTTATAATCCTCATTCTTTTGTTGGGTTAAAAGTTAACAATCAATATATGCAGATTGTTAACTGGACAGTTACTTATAGGGGAACAGAATGGCAACACTGCCTATTGAGAATGCATGCACTTATAGGGTTTTCTGCCGACTCGTCCCGTCGCGTCGTCTATCGACGAGCGGGCCGAGGTTGCCATATTTTAACCATAAAGCTCTTGCCGCGAGTAATAAACAAATTAACAATCTGTAGAAGCCTCTTAAGTTTGATGTCAAAATTACCTCATATGTAATCTAATTTACCCTACCTATGTTTACGTTATTTAATTTGGTATTGTATTCAAACAGAGAAATAAAATAGGAATAAAAAAGAAATCACATAAATATTACACAGTCTACACAAATATATTACTTAAAAAAAATTATAGATCAATTACACAAGACATGGTAAAAAAAGGTTTTTATTTTTAAGCTGATGTTTTCTATAACCCATTTTTTAAATTTTATTCCTCTGTTTTAACCCACCTGTAATATTTTTATTAATTATAGAGAATTTAATCTTTATTTTTTGCATACTACATAATCAAAAGTTAGTGTTTCAGATTTTGTTGTTTTGTTATATTTTATATTTTTTAACTTTATATTATACTGTGTATAAATTATTATATAAATGATAAACCTTGTTTTATTTTTGATATTTTTTCTGCAAGACTTTTTTTAGTCTCCTTTTTTGGAGGTTTATCCATCATTGGCAAGCCTTCTCCTAGTTCTATTTTTAAGCAAAGTCCTCCAACACCAGTTGGTTTTATACCGTCTGTGATATTAGTGACTGATTGGTCAACACTGCTAATTAGAAGCAGCTCTTTAAAACACATTTGTTGTGCTATATCATTATCTAAAATATATATAATTCAACACAAATACAACAGAGGAATGACTAGTTTTACCAATATTGAAACCAGGCACAAAATCATCTAGATCAAATAGAGCATATTGATGATGTTTCTTTTGAGCCTTTTTGTACAACTCCTGATACACAATAGTTCTATCTACATCATATAAAATATCATTAAGTAGCTCTTCTATGATACTATAATCTTTTTTGATGCCAGGTTCACTAACTTCATCTAGAAATTTTGTTTAATTAATCTAAATTTATTTAAATCTAAATATTTAGAATTTCTGATAAAACACTAATTCACCACAATACACCAAAGCACTTCACTTTTGCACTGGACGCGCGTTTTGCTAACCATTTGAGCATGATCAGCAGATGATTAAGATTTTTGTGATTAAGATTATGTCTTAGACTAATTAAGTATATGTTTTAATTATCTGGTGATGATGCTAACATGGTTAGTGAAACACATATCCAGAGCAAAAGTATAGTGTTTTGGTGAATTAGGGTTTTATTTTGTTGTTGTAACACAAAAGCTTCCAACCCTCAGCTGTAAAATCTGGATAATGAAAACCAAATTCTGTTATGTCTTGTTGACTTTTTAAATATTCATTAATGCTATCCTCCAGATATTTCTCAATATTATCTTGAGAATTCATACTTAAAGAAGTTTAATTTTGAAAATTACCTTATCACTGTCAGGCATTGTCAAATAAAACAAAAATTTCCTTAAAATAATTTTATTAAAAAAGTTTTTTGTTGAAATTAAATTTAAAAATAACTTAATCCATCCTAGTCTTCAAGTTTCTAATTGTAACCTTGTCCTTTTCACTAAAAAAATATGAATAAATACTAATAAACTAATCAACAAATCAACTAGACTTACATTATATAAACTGTGGCACCCCAACCAGACATAGCATCTCTATCGAAAGCATTAATGAGGGCTTGAGAAGTGATCTCAAATAAATCATCTGGACCCAAGTTTGGTTCCCACAAAGCTTCACACATACCGTAAAGTTGTGCACTGGCTGTTCCTCCCACAACAAAATCTTTTGGTTGATTTATGCACCCAATCAAGTCCATATTACAGATAAAAGGCTCATAAGTTTTCGGATCCAAACCAGCTATGACCGGTTCGACGAAGAATGGGCCAAAACGCTTTTCATACAACATATGAGATACCATAGCGCTGAATACCTTAGGTGAAATTGATCGATTCTCTTTCAGTTCGTAGAGGTTCTTTCGGAAACGGAGTTTCTCCATAACCGTCTGCGTATCAGTGGCTAAACCAGGAAGGCCTACGTATAATTGGGGACCCATTTCGAAGATTTTCTCAAAGTTTGTCGCGACAGTTTGGGCCTGGATACCAAATCTTCTGTCCGCAGCGATAGATACGCAGTTCTCGCCTTTCATGGCGACCATGGCCCCACCGTTATACGCTAATATAGACTGAAAATCATTAAAAATTTAATAGAAAGCTTTTAAACAAATAGCTTTGTCACTAAACATAACCTTAACCAACTAATAAACCCGGTATTTTTTGCTTGTATTCGCTTATTAAACGAATAATGCGTTTGAAATAAGTAAAACTATAAATATTCTTACCATTTTGATGGAACTGGAAACAGTATTTCTTGAAGAATACTTTAAAAACTAGTGAAGATGATTGGGTTTCTTTCTGGTTTCTTTACAAACTTTTATTTTTTATTTGTCATACTTTTTGACACTTTTGACAGTTATTTTTTGAATGTCATTGTTATTTCATGTTTTACTAGTTGCATGCCTTTTTAAATTATTGAAAGGCATAAACTTGGAATCCTTGGAATAAACAGATTTTGGGCTAATTTTAAGAGATAATAAATTGTACTAGTTCATGTATTGTTGAACACATGATGGGATTAAAAAAACTGCTAGTATGTAATTTGGTATATTTTTAAAAAAATACATATATAAATAGGTATTTTATAACCACAGTTTATAACCATTTAACTCGTTGGCACCATATAGGCTCGTCTGATTTATCATGGCAATCGAATACTCCATCGCATAGTTTTTCTTTGGGAATACATTGATCGTCCAAGCATGGGATATGATTCTCCTGACAACGGACTCCTATTAAACATTAGTAAAACCATAATATGAGAGGAAATTAAAAGTTATAAATACTTTTTCTGCAATCGATTTCATCAGACTTATCCCAACAATCCACTTTTCCATCGCACATTTTATTTTTCTCCAAACAGGAAGTCTCATTTCCGCACTGAAAATGCGTGTTTAATTCACAATCTTAAATAGAATAAATAATTTTCAGTTAAATTTATACTTTTTACGGGTTTATATAGGGCCGTTTGAGGCCGTTTAAAAAAGTACAAAAGTACAAAAAAATAAGTTTCTCTTTCCTAAGAAATAAAAGTAAAAGCTCTTTGGTAAAAGTATAAAAGTATATTCTGTTAGTTTGTGAATGTCGTCTGTCAAAATAGTCTCTTCTTTCTCTGGACCGAAGTGTTTATTTATCATTGATCTTACCACAATTTTTTTCGTCAACCATTTCCATGCAGTCGTTTTGTCCATCGCATCTCATTTCCAACCCAATGCACATATTTCCACAATTAAAAGTGTTCTCAGGACATTTGAGAAGTGTTTTTAATGGCAAACACTGAAATACTTGTTTGGTTTTGTCTAGATTCTTGCAGTATTCTATGTTAATTTTACATAAACCTCCACAACCTATGAGAATAATAATTATTCCAAGTTTGAATTTTTATAATTTGCTAATGATAACTTTGATGAACTAGACTCAGAATAGTATAATGAGCTAGACTCAGAATAGTATAATTAGTTTTGATAAATATATATTGTTGTAATATTAAAATTATTAATGTTCCTAAAAGTATATATATATATATATATATATATATATATATATTTGTTAACAATTAAACTTTTAGTTACGTAATCGAGAGTGCGATTTTTAAATTCATTGTTGCCAACCATGGACATATTCGGCGCCGGGCTGACTAGCTGGAATTTAAATTTCCCGCTGGTAATTGTAGTAGCTCTGCTGTAAACAACGTCAACCTTGCCACATTTATTTATTTATTTCCTGACATTGTCATTCGTTTTGACACTTTAGTTTTGTAATACGAGTTTTTGGTTATTAAAATCTTATTAAAATGAATTGTGTTGTGATACTTTAAACTTAAAAATGTTTACTAGCAGACCTTGCAGTCGAACCTTCTTTTTAGAGCCTCTTTTAGTGCGATATGGTACAAGAGTACAAGATAGCTTAATATAAGGAAGGCGGTAGTAATAGCCATTTAAGTCCCTTAAGTGCTGCTAAGAAGGTGAGCTTTTTATGTAAACAATAACGGTTTATATATATTTACAATTAATTTATTTTTGTTTCCTAAAATATTTTGCTTAAAAGAAAATATGTAAAAGTGGGCAACGCTGTGCTGGCCAAGCTTAGTCACGTGACTAAAAGTTTATTTGAAATCAAGTATCAATTATTATTAAAAAATATTACATTACCTGTTGGATCCCTTCTATCTTGTACTTTAATACATTTTGGTTTTGCAGTTTCTTCAGTTTTCATACAGATCTCCTCTTCTGTACAATTAATGCAATAAAATTTGGTCACATTCGTTGGCAACTAAAAGAAACAGTATTTTAGCACAGACCCGTTCCTGCGGTATCTGGCGCCTACGTGCAGATTCTTTGGTGCGCCCTTTTTATATTTAAGTCAATTATACAGGGTGATACAAATTCGAGGTACCAGCATTGGTATCTCGGTAACCCTAATAGATACGAATATGGTTAAATTGGGGCAAAGTTGCGCTTTGAGATGTTCACCAAGATACCATTAAAAAAGTTTTAAAAATTTCAAGGATTGCTGAGTTTTTTGGAAAAAACGGATTTTTTTGAAAACCAATTTTATTTTTTCCTGTCGTTACTTTTTAGAAAATCAAAAAACTAATTGCACATTTTCATAGCCACTTTATTAGGGCTATCTGATAGTATTTTTTTCAAATTAGCTGATAATTTGTGAGATACAGAGGCCAACTTAATTTTTTTTAAATACGGACCTGCATTTTATATTTCAGATTTTGTAAGAAGTCATTTTGTAAGAAGTCGGTCTCCTGGGTACAATGAAATTAGTTTAAATAAATTGTGTTTAAATGTCCGAAACAAACAAAAATATTAAGTGTGGCATATCATCACGGCATATAAATCACACGGCAGGCTAACTCTAAGGCTAACTCTGCCCAGATCCCATTGTTTTAAATTTCTATAAAATTTGACCTTGAAAACACCATTATGAGTCAGGGCCGGATTAAAACGTATCAAAAATTTTCCCAGAAAATAAACTATTGAGAGACAGGGTTGTATTAAAAAAAAATACTGTAATTGACTGAAACTAAATTTTGTTTAGACAATACTTTTATCTAAACAAATGAATCGTTAACCGCGCATACTCCTCGAAAAGTAACAATGAAAAAATCAATTAAACATTTAACTGTAGAGAATAGACAATTAAAATTAAAAAACATGCCAGGAGTTACAAACAAGAATTACCCAATAAAATATCTATTGAACAATCTAAAGAGGCTACGTACAAATTATGTCCATCAATCGACATAGCAAATTTTGTTAATATTCATCATAATATAATAATAATATCATCAAGTGCAATTCATTTTATAATAGTGGTCGTCATAATATTGTAGGTTTTGAGGACCAGAAGGGGAACAGAGAGTTTAAACCAGCTCGGGTGTCTAATATTGTTATGGTATGAGATATCTCTACCAATGGAAAGCAGTCCCTGGCTTATTTTACAAGCTTTTATTTAACTTGCTTTGTATGTATGTTTGTTCGGGGAAAATCTTTAGAAGCACTTCCTTTCATTGTAGGAAACTGAAATTTGGCATGTAGGTTCAGTCCCGATGACAATACATTTTCTTGCAAGGCATGACCCGAATTTTTGACAGGTGTCAAAAAAATTTCAAAGTTGTCCGATTTTGATAAAAATCGATATATAGGATGGCCATGGGTTAAAATGAAAGAAAAAAATTGAGCTGTCAAATTTGACAGCTGTCAAAAAAATCTTAAAGTTGTCCGATTTTGATAAAAATCGATATATTGGATGCTCCCTACCCCATAGTCGGTTTTCATTTTATTTGTCTCACATTTGAACTGTCAATATTGACAGCTGTCGTTTTTTTAAGTTCTTCTTTTTTAATGAAAATCGATATACATATTATTAGGATGCCCATAGGAAGTTATTTAAGAAAAAGAATTGAGTTTAAGTGTGTGGCACTGAGAAACCAGCATAACTAAAAAGTAAAAAATAAATTTAAGAAAGAAAACTTTTTAAAAACAAGGTTTTATTTAAATACATTAAAAAGAAAAAAATAAACTTTTATTATGGACTTATAACGTCATTACAGAATTTTATATTATATAAAAGCTTGTCGCGAGATGCAAGATTTTAGTCTACAGTTGCACTCATAAAAATCTGGTACGAAAACTTTATCTTGTAATTCCTGTAATTCTTGTAATTCCAATATCTTGTAAACCTATCGTTGTTCCCATCCAGGATAAATTCATCCCCAGTTTAGAACATTTAAAAAACTTTGTGTCCGAATATTACACACGGGTACTGAAAATTGCCAAAATGATCTGGCAAACATCTTATTAAAAACGGCAGACCTTATTGTTTACGTCGGAATCCGTAACATTATTATAAAAAACAACGAGACTTCTGTCCTTTTCTCTCTGAATTGTCATGAGCTATCCATAAAAATTAAAAATAGATACGGATAATCAGAAAAACAGTAATTTAGAAATGAATCTTGTTTGTCATTTTGTAGGATACCTAATAATAAAAATTACTTTGAATGCCGTAGGCAATGATTGAGTATTAAAACTAAAAGAACTTCGAACTTCCATTGTACTACTAAACTACAAAAACCAAATATATCACACACAATAAACAAAAATAAAAAAACAAAATATATCACTCAAGAAAAGAATGAAATAAATTAAGCCGCACGCTACTGACTCAAAGCTGCCGTAACTGTATGTTCTCGATGACAAAGACTACGACCACAGGACTACGACACTGGTTAATTTCTGTTGCTGGCACCCATAATGGCGGCGTGCGCTAGGATATGCGCGTAGCGTTCCCGCCAAAGCGAGTTGGCCTGCCGTGTGATTTATATGCCGTGATGATATGCCACACTTAATATTTTTGTTTGTTTCGGACATTTAAACACAATTTATTTAAACTAATTTCAAGTCTGGCTCTGTTTTTTTAAATATCTAATCTATTCATCGTTACAATATTGATATGCTTTCAAACTTAACAATGACCAGGTTCCCGGCCAGCGAGGATCCTGGACCTGTCGCACAGGAGCGGGGGGACATTACTTGACGTCATTAGTAAAAGTGAAATCAATACGTCTCAACATTAATAATAAAGAGAGACAAAGTAAAAAATGCATTCGGAAGTATAAGAAGAAAGTTCAAAGTTTTATAAATAAAATTGAACGAAAAATTAATTTGTGTAATAGGGAAGGTGGCAACAGTTTGGAACATGTAGAGCATTAGAAACTAGTTGATTTATTTATAATAACTATGATTAATATTATGCATATTATTAGATCGCACACTGAGATCTCAAATTCACAATAAAAAAAAAGTTAAAAATAATATCTTTAAATTGCTGACCTGGATATTATTTATTTGAATCTTCCAATTGGCTCGATTTTTCTTATTCAATGTTAATTAATGCTGATCAATATTGTTGGGATGAATATAATCAGATTAAATAATTTTAAAAAACAGAGTCGGACTTGAAATAATTATTTTAAATAATAATTAAATAGTTTTGTTGTTGTAAAGGTACCCAAAACAAAAAAAGTATAAAGTATGGCATATCATTGTTCTCAGGAGACCGAGTTCTTTTAAAACCGGAAATAAAAAATGCAGGCCCGTATTTAAAAAAATTAAGTTGGCGTCTGTATCTCACAAATTATCAGCTAATTTGAAAATCTAAAAATTCCATCAGATAGCCCTAATAAAGTGGCTATGAGAATGTGCAATTAGTTTTTTGATTTTCTAAAAAGTAACGACAGGAAAAGATAAAATTGATTTTCAAAAAAATCCGTTTTTTCGAAAAAACTCAGCAATCCTTGAAATTTTTAAAACTTTTTTAATATCATCTTGTTGAACATCGCAAAGCGCAACTTTGCCCCAATTTAACCTTGTTCGTATCTATTACAGTTACCGAGATACCAATGCTCGTACCTCTAATTTGTAGCACCCTGTATATTTTAATCTTAATCTCAAAAATTTAAAGAATTTATATTCTGCGACAAACGAGCAATATGTAATTGAAAATGTAAAAAAAACTATTCTAATTAAAGTATAAAAACATTTATTAAATAAATAAAACAAACAAAACTTAAATATTTAGTAACAAAAATAGTACCCTTAAGAAAAAAACTGACCCATTAAATATGAAATACATAAAAACAATAAACTAAAAATCGAAAATAATATACATGTACTGATTTCTTTCGAAAATCGACAACTATGAAACTATGATGCCTTCCCCGACACAAACGGTACATTGTGAGACAGGAAATTGTAGAGAGAAACAAGCCCTCCCTATAATATAGGATACAACATTTTAATGAACAGTGCTTTCCATAAAATGAATAAAATGAAAAATAAATAGATGAGATCAATGTGTTGCCGACAGATTGCCCTAGACTTGTTTATTCGGCGCGGCCAACACAAAAAAAGACGCTAAGCAAACTTTATCCTATGATGTATGTTTAAGTATTTGTTTATTGGCAAGAAAGCGTATCGGTTTTTTAGTTACAAAGTACTGATTGACCCTTCGATTTTGCGCCCCCAAAATGTTGCGCCTACGTGCGTGCACACACTGCACGCTCGCCAGGAACGGCCCTGTTTTAGCATCGTAAATTTACTTTGCGTAGGTACTTACTTGTTTTATATTTTCACTGGGTTTTTGAACAGTTGATTCTTCAGTGATATTTGACATTTGCGCTTGGAAAAACTCGTTTCTTCCTGATCTGTTGTTTTTAACATCATTTTCATCGTATATTATAATGTTCGTGTCGTTAGGAGTTGCTCTGTTCTCTGTTCTAAAGATATTATGATCTAGAAAAAAAATAGTTCAATATAAAATAATGGTATTTTATACAGGGTGTTTCAAAAAACATGTGCCATATCTTGTGGGGAGATTTCTCACGTAACAATAAGATGTATTTTTCATATTAACATAGGCCCGATTTTGCTTTGTTTCGTAGCTACAGGGTGTTAAAGTCTTAATATTTTTTCGATTTATTATAATTTTGTTCCAAGTACTTTGAGCGTTTCGAATGAAATTTTGAGGGTAAAAGTTACTATAAATGCGACATATTTTAAGGCTAAAAAACTGTCGCCATGTTCACCAGGGACGTGCATATGGGTTATCACTTGAATATTTTTCTTAAAGAAGCAATATGTACGTCACTGACTTTTTTTTCTTTTGTTAGCGAAATAGTGTAAGCTGTTTAAGCCAATTAAAAGTTGTCTCTTGATATTTTGTCGATTTTGGCCTCCTTGATGAGATAAACGCAATTTTATTAATTTCCGTGACCCAAGTCTAATATAGGAACCTTAAAAAAAATATTATCATTAACTTGAGAAAGTTTTAAATAAGTACTCATCATCAAAAAAATATGAAAAAACGTTCCTATAAACATGGGTATGGAAATGCATAGTTTTAGAGTTACAGGATGTTAAAACTTTTTAAAATTAGGTTTTTTATAATTATTTTAAATACCATAATTTTATTATTTAAAATTGCTGTATGTTGGACTAATAGTAATAATAACTAATAGTAATAATATTTAGTAATAAATTAGGTAAAAAAATTATAATTTATTAATTTCATTTTTATTTTAATTTTATTAATGGTGATTAATAAAATTGCGTTTATCTCATCAAGAAGGCCGAATTCGACAAAATATCAAGAGATAACTTTTAATTGGAATTAAACGTCCTATACAATTTTGATATCAAAAGAAGAAAGTCAGTGGCGCACATGTTTTTTTTTGAAAAATATTCCAGTGATAACCTATATGCACGTCCCTGATGAATTTATCGACACTTTTTTAGCATTAAAATATGTAGCACTTATAGTAATTTTTACCCTCAAAATTTCATTCAAATCCCTAAAAGTACGTGGAAGAAAATTATAATAAATCGAAAAATTATTAAGATTTTAACAGCCTGTAGCTACGAAACAAAGCAGAATCGGACCTATGTTGATATGAAAAATAAATCTTATTTTTACGTGAGGAATCTTCCCACGAGAGATGGCACATGTTTTTTGAAGCACACCACCCTGTAGAGGTGGGCAAAGATTGAGTCGTTCGTTTGAACGAGCATTAAAAATGAATCGTGAGTCGTGAGGTTCGATTCACCGTTTAGAGAAGTGGCGCAACTAAAGGGGGCTAGGTTTTTTTTAGTCTCCTCAACCTCAACCACCTGATGATTGGTGCGGGTCTCTTAAAATTGGTTTAAACCTCAAATCAATGTTATATTTTAATTGAGCTTAGCCCCCCTAAAAGTCGGTGTCTAGTTGCGCCACTGGCTTAGAGTCTGGTTCGTTCGATTGAGTCGTGGTGGATATGGATCGAAAAAATAGCATAGGGTATATAATCGAGTATCTATTTGAACGAGTCATAGAAATGAATTGTAAATATTGAATCGGATCACTGCCCAGAATACGGCTTGTTCAATAATGAATCGTAGGCATCACGGATCCATAAAATTTGAACGCACGAGTCTTAAAAAAGAATCGTAAGAATTGAATCGGATCACAATGCGGCTCGTTTATTCCTTCTACGATTCGTTCGTTCAAAGGATCATGAGAATTGATTCATTGCTGACAACTGACAACATACGGTTCGTTTAAAAAATATATTAGAATTATATATAGTACAGGATGAGTCTTAAATAAGTGCAAATAGTTTCAGGGCTGGTAGATCTCGACAAAAGAAACATATTTTCTCTTTACCATTTTTCAGATAAGTCCAAAATAACCGAGTTATTCAAGTTTGAAAATTTAAAAAAAAATATTTTTTTTTAACAAATTTTGAGAGCCACCGGATTTTTTCTGTATTTGCATCCCTTTTATTGCCATAACCATAGAGTAAAGCCGTAACTATGGTAATATCAGAGATTAAGAAATTATACCGTGGGAAATTTGCGGTGAGTAGGCAGTTCTAAAAAGTTTTCGAAAAATATACAGGGAAATTTAAAAGAAAATACACGATTTTCAACATCTTTTTTTAGCGAAAATAACCTCATAGACGTGTTCCTGGGGTTGAAATATACCACCCCTGAAAATATTTGCACTTATTTAAGACTCACACTGTATTATGGGCTTGGGGGTATACCCAACCACGTTTGGTACCATACATACATACTACTGCCATTACTCGCTGACGAGTATTTGACACGCATCAGAAGATGGTCACGCAAGGCGTTTTCTTTCATGAGCCTTTCTGTGACTGAAAAGCCCAATACGTGATGTTATTTGTCTACCGCACTCCGGACATTCAAAAATCTCATTGTTTTGTTGCCTCTTAACTTTTTGGTTATTGATTGAAGTATTCAATTGTTTTCGGTCACTTCCGGTTTTACCGGAAATGACTACAACTTTTGATTTTTAAAGGTCACCGCCGGTATTTTTTTACTTTATTCGATAGAAAATGTTACTCTAAATAGAATGACATATCAGATGTCAACTTTTGACATTTTCGCATATGGTTTATTTGAAATTATAACTTGCGGTTCGTAACGAAAATTTGACTTGAAATACCAAGTGTGTGGTATCAAAGGTGGTATCAAATTATTCGTAAAAAATGCTTTTTCCAAATATGTTAATGAGCCACCTTCGTTCCATTTGAAAAAATTGAGATACGATTAAAAATACGATTTGAGCATTTTCTAACTAGCCCGGACAAGACACTAAAAACATTAGACGATCAAATTTATTTTTCCAAGGCTCATTGATGAATAATTAGTGTTTTTAACGTACACATGGCACTCTAGATTGAATTTTAAAAAATAATTTTTTATTAAGCGAGAATGTCAAAAGTTAATCTATGATATGTCATTCTATTCAGAATGTCATTTTCTATCGAATAAAGTAAAAAAATACCGAGGGTGCTATTTAAAAATCAAAAGTTGTAGTCATTTCCGGTGAAACAGGAAGTGACCAAAAACAATTGAATACACCAATCAATCCTAATTTATGTCATATAGTAACATACCAAATCTCGTTTTTTTATCTGAAAAAATAAAAAAGTTATAGGGGTGAGCCACGTTTAAGACGCAGCCGGTATGTAATTTGTTCAAATAAACGAATCGTAATAGATATTATATTTTCAATATAATGAGAAATTGAATCGTGTAGTTTGATTCACTTAAAAGAAGCGTAATGCCCATTACCACTATTTTGGCCAGAAAAATTAAAATTCTTAAAGAAAAACAGAAATTTAAAAACTCTCATCACATATTCGGACTTATAAAGAAATTTATTGAAAAAAATAATATTTCCTATAAATAATTATTATTTTTAAGAATTTTTATATAGGATATATAAATTTGGTATATTGTGTATTGAAGCATCCTGTATATTTATCATCAATTTTCTTAAATGACCGTGAAGTTTGATTGCCTTCTTTTATATTTTCCTTGAAAATCACTCAAGCTTATCAAACCAAAATGTATATGAGATTGTTTTGCGATAATATAAGATACCCATAATAATATTTGACCAATTCTAGGATTTTCGTATCCTATAGAATAAGTAACTATAAAAATATCCATTATGTTGGAACTTGTCCATCAAGAAAATTAAATTATTTATTTTTCAACTTACCAAAAGAAAAGAAGATTCCGCAACCAACTGCCAACACCAAACTGCAAAACACGAAAATATAAGCATACGTTTTCCATTTAACTGATTCCTTCTTTTTGAGAACTTCAACTTCGTTGATTTTCAATACCCATCGTTGACCAAAAATATTTTTCTTGATTATCGCATTTTTGTTAAAACTGTTCTGGTAAACTTCTCTGCTTATGGTCGATACTGACATGTTTTGTGCCCTACATTTATCGTTTTGTTACTTATGTTTATACCGGGTGCGTCTCAAAAGTGGCTCACCCCCTATAACTTTTTTATTTTTTCAGATAAAACAACGAGATTTGGTATGCTAGTATATGACATAAATTGGGATTGATTGACGTATTCAATTGTCTTCGGTCACTTCCAGTTTCACCGGAAATGACTACAACTTTTGATTTTTAAATGACACCCTCGGTATTTTTTTACTTTATTCGATAGAAAATGACACTCTGAATCGAATGACAATATGTCAATTTTTGACATAGTCACTCCAAAAAAATTCTATTTTAAATTTCAATCTAGAGTGCCATGGCTGTGTTAAAAACACTAATTTTTAATCAAGGAGCCTTGGAAAAATAGATTTGATCGTCCAGTGTTTTTAGTGTCTTGTCCTGGCCGGTTAAAAGATGCCCAAATCGTATTTTTAATCATATCTCAATTTTTCCAAATGGAACGAGGGTGGCTCATTAGCATATTTGGAAAAAGCATTTTTTTAAGAATAATTTGATACTACACACTTGGTATTTTGGGTCAAATTGTCGTTATGAACCGCATGTTACAATTTCAAATAAACCATATGCCAAAATGTTAAAAGTTGACATATAATATGTCACTCGATTCAGAGTATCATTTGCTATCGAATAAAGTAAAAAAATACCTAGGGTGCTATTTAAAAATCAAAAGTTGTAGTCATTTCCGGCGAAACGGGAAGTTACCGAAAACAATTGAATACGTCAATAAATCCCAATTTATGTCATATACTAACATACCAAATATCGTTATTTTATCTGAAAAAATAAAAAATTTACAGGGGTGAGCCACTTTTGAGACGCACCCGGTAGATTCGTTAAAAAATTCTTAAAATATAAACTTACCTTTTATTTTTGTCATACCAATAAACTTTTGTAAGTTCGACATTAGAAGGCTGTAAAATCATCTTTTTTTGCTGTATTATGATACTTTTTTAGATCTCAAACTTGTTAAGACTAGAGCTGATTCCTAAAAATGATATTTATAAATATTATTTTGTTTAAATTATAGAATAACTTTTATGACTTATTGATTATTATAACGTGATTATTCATTCATGATATAAAATACAGTGATTTTTTTTGAGATAGCATAGTTTAGAATAACTCTGTATATATCTAGCAATTATTTTTGTATAATTTAGTCATGCATAATACACTATCGTAATGTGCCTCCAGTTAAAAAATATAAATAATTTGCAAACTTCCGAATTTTGAGAGAAATTTAAATACATAATTCTGAAAATTTAATATAAAAATGGCCAAATTTCAAAAATCACACGGTATAAATTATGACATTGTGATATTTTTCAATGAATGATAATTCATTTATATTTTAGAATTTTTTCAATAAGTTCTTACATGTTGATTAATATTATTCATATTATTAAATAAGATTTTTAAGCACTAGATCGATTTAACAAATAAAATATATTAATTATTTAGATAGAGTAAATACCTACTTACATTTTTCTGCGATCACGTAACTTTATCAATTTTGTACCATGCACTCCATGGTGGGCAATGGATTTATACTGGTCCTGTGTACTGGTCTCTCATAGGACGACGAATACAAACATTCAATATCGCGATTACTCGACCATGCCATGGATAGCACGTGACACCGTAGGGGATTAAAAGAGGGTTAAATTTAAATTGAGACACTGTTATACAGGGTTGTTTTGATGATTGATACAACGTTTTTTTTTATTTGTCTTTTAGTAGTTTACTTTTTTATTTACATTAGACCAATGTGGTACCGGGACGCTGGCTGTATCTCAGAAACTACTTATCGCATAGCTTTGGGAAAAAATTCTTATGAGTAAATCGACCAAGAGAAATCGCTGGAAATTATTTTCAAGTTCGAAAAATGTCCGCTAGGGGGCGTTTCGCTGATAGCCAATCAGAAAACAGGGTTTTTCTCAAAAATATGCAGGTGAACAGGTATTTTAAATATTACTATTGTAATCATCGAGAATTTTTTAATTTTTTTGATATAGAGTGTTTTGCTCTATCTCATAAAATAAAGTGGAGGGGGAAGGTTAAACTTGCTTTTATTAAAATAAGGATAACTCTGGTTTAGGTTAACCGATATAAACAAACTAGGGCTCGTTTAAAAGAACTTTTCTTCCTTAATGATCTCCAGTATAAGTTTTGTTTCCATCATTTTTTTTTCGTGGTAGCTAGAGGGCGCTGTTTGACATCATAACAGATATTGCGCGTTTGCATAAAAAAATTAAATTGGAGGCTATATTTCTCTTTACACAGTTAAATAGAGCACAAAATTTCCAAAATATCAACGCAAACCGCAATTTTCTATCTTATCTCTAACCGGAGATATTAAGAGAACAAATTATGTTAGGCTGCCGCTTAGGATTATATAGTTTAAAAATTATAGTAGTAGGCTAGGAAATAAATAGAGGAAAATTGGTTACGTCGATTCAAAATATCAAAACATATATTTTAATTTCATTTTAATACCATTTAATTGTTATTTATCCATGTTCGTTCTTGATTCGACCTCATAAATTAAAACCCAGGCATATTGAATCCGATGACCTAACTAGCCATGGATATATGCCGCTCCAGCGTCTCTTTCTACTAAAGTAAGTGGTATCCAAGAAGCCCCACACATTCATAGCAAAATATGCGACACAACTTCACCAAACTGCATTATCTACACCAACTGCATTCATACTGATGAAATTGCAACAAATGCATTTTCATCATGATGGATCCCCTAACAAAATTGGCAATTCATCTCTTAGAAATTATGGATAGTTCATTTCATTCAGATAATCATTCGCCATCCTAGAATTTCTGCCAACGGTCTTGGTCCAGGGTAGATTTGGACCAGTGGTAGATTTGGACCAGTAGTGCATATTGTTATCATTCGCACCTTCGCTTCGGGGCTATATAAAATGTGACCCAAACGACATAAACTTTATAATACAATAATAAATAACACAAACAACAGGTAAAACACGAAAACAAGTGAAATCAAGGACGAAGTTGGATTAATAGCTAAATGACGTTACATGAAATAAACCCCTAGTTTTCGGCCATACGAAATTTGGCCGTTTTCTGTTAAAAGCACACACAAAATTCCTAGAAATTTTAATAAAAAATTATTGATTGTCCGACTTTCGGACATTTTAATCTGAGAACTACCTACGTATAATTAACCAAGAAATTCGTAAAAATTATGTGGATGAATGATAATGTTACATAAACACGTTTAAAAATTTATGACGTCATCTTTTTTAAGAAAACGGCCGAAATTCGGATGCATGAAAACTGAACTTTAACGTTTTGATATTTTGACATAACTAATTTACCTCTTTTTGTTTCCTAGCCTACTACTATAATTTTTAGACTATATAACCCTGACATAATTGGCAGCCTAACATAATTTGTTCTCTTAATATCTCCGGTTAGAAACAAGATAGAAAATTGCGGTTTGCGTTGATATTTTGGAAATTTTGTGCTCTATTTAACTGTGTAAACAGAAATATAGCCACCTATTTAATTTTTTTATGCAAAAGCGCAATATCTGTTATGATGTCAAACAGCTACCACAAAAAAAAAATGATGGAAACAAAATTTACACTGGAGATCATTAAGGAAGAAAAGCTCTTTTAAACGAGCTCTAGTTTGTTTAAATCGGTTAACCTAAACCAGAGTTATCCTTATTTAAATAAAAGCAAGTTTAACCTTCCCCCACCACTTTATTTTATGAGATAGAGCAAAACACTCTATATCAAAAGAATTAAAAATTTCTCGATGATTACAATAGTAATATTTAAAATACCTGTTCGCCTGCATATTTTTGAGAAAAACCCCGTTTTCTGATTGGCTATCAGCGAAACGCCCCCTAGCGGACATTTTTCGAACTTGAAAATAATTTCCAGCGATTTCTCTTGGTCGATTTACTTATTAGGATTTTTTTTCCAAAGTTATACGATCAGTAGTTTCTGAGATACAGCCGGCGTCCATTCTTAATTGGCCACCCAATACTACCAGTCATGGCCTATGCATGCGAAACCTGGATTCTTAAAACGGACATTAAGGAAAGTGCATGTCACACAACGTTCATTGGAACGAAATATGCGGGACATATGGGGGGAATAATCAAGAAAGACCGTAAAAGAATAGAGTGGATACAACAAAAGACCCAGGTAATAGATGTCATCCACAGAATCAAATCCCTTAAGTGGCAATGGACACCTGGCAAGAAGGACCGAGAACTGATGGACTACAAAAATTACAGCATGGTACCCACGAGGAATTAAGAGACCCAGAAGACCGAACCTGAGATGGGATAATGATATTAGAAAATTGGCAGGGATAATTTGGGCCCGCGGCTCGCATAGCTAACAATAGACAGTTAAAGAGAGTATCTAAATATGGGAGGGAGGCTACACCATAATTTGAAATGGTTGAATAAGCTGAGAATGATGATGAGGAAATATAACTTATATCTGAATTTATTAATTATTCATTATTTTTTTAATATGTATCTTTTTAAAAACTAATAATTGTTTATCATCAATTTTTCGATAGGAAATTTATATTTTTGCGATTTTTACGAAAAAAAAACTATTATTTACATAGGTACCGGGTGTTGCATCGTCAAGCGGGACATAGGAAATCCCATGTAAATTTTAATGGGGTCAATTATTGGCTTCCCTAATTATTTTAGACAATAATTCTATTTAGGTTTATTGAAGAGCACTAAAACCCACATTCAAAAGAATAACTTTAGATATTTTTGATTAGCCCGTTTACGAGTTATCGTCGATTTCTTTATAAATATTTCTCCTTTCTTATGGCCCTGTATTTACTTATGAGCACCAGTCAAGGTAAAAGATAACTGTCAAATGAAGTTGCCATTTAATAGTACCTAAATTAATAAGTTATTGAATATTGTAATAATACTATAATTAACCTTGTAATTGATTACTTTATTTTACTTTAATTCATATTAATTTGTGTTTATAAATACACCTTTAAGATTTCCGATGTAGGAATGAGTTTTCAATAATAATAAAACACTAAATAGGTAAATTTCTGAAATGACAACTTCATTTGACATTTATCTTTTACCTTGATTGGTGCTTATAAGTAAATACAGGGCCATAAGAAAAGAGAAATATTTAAAAAGAAATCGGCGATAACTTACGGGAAGGGGGGTCCAGGAGTACCGCAATGAAAAGTGCTTTCTATTCTCTATACTTTCCTGCTTCGTTTTTGAAGATCGGTCGAGTCGTTGGGAAAATATGAAGGATTGAAATTTGAAAAGTTTATTTAAACATTTATCAGAGTAAATGATAAGGATAAATTCCTTCGACCAATTTGCTGTTTTTTCTTATTATTTCTAGATGTTTGCAATCGGGTTACGCAGATATTCAATGAACGCCATCTTGACAAACACCTTTATGGCAAAATTGTTTGCCAGTTAGTAGCAAAATTTCGCGAAACTGGTTCCGTTATGAATAAAAAGAGGCAGAGGGAAAATCCTGTAGTAAATGAAGCTATGGAGATATTCGTATTGGGCCAAGTTGCCATGGACAGTAGGCGGGAATCGTACAAGTTTCCAAAGGATATTAAAAAAACAAAAGTTCCACACGTACAAAATTCAGTTGGTACAAGAACTCAACGAAGACGATTTTGATCGTTGCTTGCCATTTTGTGAAACTATGAGTGAACGAGTGGCGAATGATAATAATTTCCTATTTAATGTGTGTTTTTCAGATGTGTGTACTTTCTTTTGAACGGTGTAGTTAATCGGCACAACTGTCGGTACTGGGCTGACGACAACCCCAGTGTTTTTCACGAGGTGCACACACAAAATCCTCAGAAATTGAACGTGCGGGCTGGTATTTTAGGAAATTCTATTGTAGGTCAGTTTAACGATATTGAGAAGAACTTCAACGTACAAGTCACAGAACAGCTATCTAGCAACTACCGCATCTGATCGTTCAACGTTGTGGCAAGTGAAAAAATGCGTAAACATCTAGAAATAATAAGAAAAAACAGCAAATTGGTCGAATTAATTAATTATCATTTACTCTAATAAATGCTTAAATAAACTTTTCAAATTTCAATCCTTCATATTTTCTCAATAACACGACCGATTTTCAAAAACGAAGCGGGAAAATATAGAGAATGGAAAGCTCTTTTCATTGCGGCGCCACTTGACCCCCATTTCCATTTGAAAAAAGTTGGGGGATGGCACCCCCGCTTAGAGGGTTGAATATTTTGCAATCATTTTTGGGGCAAAAGTTGTCCCCCTCACAAACAAAATTGACGTGTTTTTGGATTTTTTGAAAAAATAAATACCCTGGCCGTTATGCCTTGCGGAACGTTTACGATGGGCCACCCTGTATAATTCACCTTACAAGGAGCGTAGTGTCATATTACTTAATAAATACAATTTTATTGTTCTACACGATCGAAAAAAAATCGGCGTCAAAGACGGCTTGGAAATGAAAATTGATGGTAATTTTGGCGAGGTCAAGCCCTAGACGTCATTTACTTGACCCGTACTCT